AAGGGCCTTCTGCCTCTTATTAATACGGATAAGCCTCTGCTTTTAATAGTAGCGAAACTACTTAATATTCTTATTACTAAGCGTAATTGGCTAGCGTAGGAAGTTGCTTATCTTAACCTGCATTTGCCTCTTTAAAAGGGCAGTTATATAGTAGTTACGCTCGACTGTCGTCCCTCTTCCGACTAAAGTATACTAGTCGATCTGCCTATAGAAGGACACGATAGTATAATTAGTAGCGACGCTAGTACTAATATCGGTAGCGATATCGGTAGTAATAACAACGCCGACGGTATAACGCATCGTGCACCTAGAAGAACGGTTATTTAGAAGTACCTCGTACGCCCTAAAGCTATAGAGGACGTAAGCCTCTTTATCTACTTAACTAAGTAGAACCTATAGCGCCGCGGTAAGGCCCGACCTCTATCCTACCCTAAGAAGGATCGACGGCTAATTAACTACTTCCTACGCTATCTATCTGTTCTAGGTAAGCTACGCTATAAAGACTACCTCCGGCTTAAGATTTAGATGCACTATCCGTTCCGTTAGCTTCTAGCCTATTCTAAGGACAACCCTTACTAGTTTCCCGATCGCGATAACTTAGAATTTATAATATAGCAAGCAGCTTTTCGATACTACTAGGAGAATTATTAGCACCCGAACGATTATCTTTAAGACCTCCTACGCGAAGATAGTAATCCTTTTATTAATCCTAAGATATAGAATCTCGGTAAGCCGGCTAATTTTAATACACTATGTAGGCCTTTACCGAATCCTAGTATTCGCGACGAAGATCTAAACAACCTTAGCGACCGTAAGGTTAATAGAGCTACCTATTAGGAGCCTCGCATTAGTAAGTATCTAGCGGAATACCTAGACATCTATAACACTTCTTAAGACTAGTAGTAGGCCTGTAAAGAGGAGTATAGCATTATAGACCTTAATGTCTAGTTATAGTCGACTGCCTAATTCGATAAGCTAAATCGCTACTAGCGGCAAGGATTTAACGAGGTTGTTTATTACTTCTAGCGAGTTCTTAACTATCGTTATACAAGGAATAATCGCCTACCGTAGCTCCTCTTTAATATTAATAGCGTAGGAGGCATAGGGAAGTCGTACCTAATTAAGATAATATATGCCCGCCTCTAGACTATAGCTAGGATAGCTAGTTATCCCGCTAATCCGATTATCCGGTTAGCTCCTACTAGTACTGCGGCTACTAATATCGAAGGTTCGACGTTGCATTCCGTATTCCGACTGCCTATAAGAAGAGCATTTACTAAGCTAGCTAGTACTCGGCTTACATATATAAAGAACCTCGTCCGTAACGTTTAGTATATTATTATTAACGAGAAGTCTATAGTTAGCTAGCTACTCTTGTCTATGTTAGACTAACGCCTTCGCTAATGCTATATAGATAGAAATCTACCTTTCGGTAGAATAAATATTATTGTCTTTAGCGATTTCTACTAGCTAACTCCTATTTTCGAGAAACTACTTTTCTATACTATACTAAAGATAGTAGAGGAAATTTCCGGCTAGTCGATGTACTACGCTTTTAGCAAGTCCCTCCTTCTTAAGGCTAACATACGTTAAGAAGAAGACAGTCTAGACTAGGTCGCCTTCCGCGATGCCCTCGACGCCCTCCGTATAGGTAAGGTATAAATGCTATACTAGCAAACACTTATAAAGCGGCATATATCGCACCTAGACATTACGGCACGTATTAAAGACTTTAATAATACTATCTGTATCTACTTTACTAATGCCGACGTCGATAAACTTAACTATTAGCGCCTCCGAGACATTTACAACCTAGTTTTGCCTATCTATACGGATTACAATCGCCCTAAGACGGCTACTATTAATAGCAAGAGCGTCTATAATCTAGATGCCCTTCTAAAGGTTTTAGTAGGATGCAAACTTATGCTCCTTACTAACCTGTAGACTAAGTTTGGTTTAGTTAATAGTCGGCAAGGTATTCTATACGACATTGTCTAGCCTAAATCCGTACGCGATAAGAACCTCCGTCGGACTCTACCTCTATACTTACTCGTCGCATTTAAAGGCCTTAAGGATAATATACCCGCTCTCTTTAAGGTCTCTAGACGTAAGATTGTCCCTATCTTCCGCATCCGCCGCAACGTTAATAGCCGTAACGATTAGTATCTATAGTTTCTACTTATAGTGTCCTATGCTTTAACTGTCTATAAAGCACAAGGTATAATACTAGACAAGGCTATTATTAAGCTTAGTCTAAAGGATTTCTCGGCTAGTCTTATATATATCGCTTTCTTACGAGTTAAAAGCTATATAGGTCTTATAATTAAGGACACATTCGACTTTTAGCGTATTCGAGACTTAGGTAAGACAAGTGTCGCATATATACGGATTATAGACGAGCGTCGGAGATAAGGACAATTTCTTCCTAAGCCTCCTTCGTCTCCGCTTATATCCTCTTATGCTTTCGACTATAGTAGGCCTCTCTCTACCTTCTCTAATAGCCTACTTAACGCCCTTAGCTAGAGATATTAGTAGCGATATAAAGACAATAATAGCGATAACGATCCTAACCTCTAGACCGTTCTACTCGACCTACTACTTCTAGGCTAAGAGTAGCCTATTAACCTAACTATAGGGGCAGTCGAGCCTAAGAGTAAAGGCTTTCCTTTACTTTCTAGTTACGTATACTATCTAGATGCTTATCTTAGACCGTAGTAGACTCGTCTAGAACAGCTACGTATCGGTGCTAATTATACTATTAAGCGTAATTTGTTTATCCGACAAATCTAGGATGCCGAGCGCTAGTAATAGTAGATCCTTCGCGATTAAGCTCGTATCGACTAAGGTCCTTCTACTACTCGCCCCTACCCTCGCGACGGTATACATTCTACGGTGCTATCGATAGGCGTTAAACATTAGTATATAGTTGTTCGTCCGTCTAACGAGAAACTTAAGCGTACCTTTATATCTTATATACGTATAGAGTTAGGTATAGCACTTGTCGGCCGCTTTAGCGGTCGTAAGGTTAGACTTATCGACACTACTCGTCCTTTATAGACTTCTTACTAGCTACGTTTTATAACTAATCCGGATAGTAAGAAGATCTTTTAGGAGGTCTACCGCGAGAAGTATCTTAATTATTAATAGCTCTAAGCTATAAAGAGTCGACTCGAGTAAGTAAACAAGCGAGAAGACTATTAGACTAGGGTACGTCGACCTAAGATAATACGTCTTATCGACCTAGTATTCGATTATACTTAGATTATATAAGGTTAGGGTCGTTATACGTTTAACAACCCTAGTAGCGTACAGCTGCTAACTACCTATAGCGGACGCTCTCTCGACTTCTTCTATACTATCGCCTATATCCCGTAGGACCTATATAACCCTAATAATCTTATTAGCGCTTAGTATACTAATTAAGTTATAACCGACCTTCTTATACTTTAGTAGCATTCCTTCGATTATAACTATGTTTAGCTAATAACGCCGACTAATTCATTCGGACTCCTATTTATATCTAGCGTAGATAAACGACTCGCTTGCGATATAGTAAACATTGCTTATAAGCTTATCCGGGAGTTTAGCTAGCTAACTATAGCTATAGTATAGCCTATTAATCCTTATTAGTAGGCATCTACTAGTACTAAGGGTTGTTATTAGTACTAGACTACTATAGGCGATATATTTAAAGCATTCTAAGATCTCGCATTTACGCCTAATCTCTACCTAGTCTATATAATCTACTCTTCTAATAGCTATCTAGTTGCGGCGAGGATTAATCCTCGTACTGCTATCGTCTAAACCTAGAACTCTTAGCCTAACGTTCGCTTAGATAGTACTCGCATAATCGGCTATAATAGTATCTAACTTATTCTTACGTTTACTAGCCTCTTATCCCTTTATCGGAATGCTTAGGAAGCTAGCTAGCCTACTAAAGATACCTAGACCTACTAGGAGGTTAACGAGGCTATACGATAGACTAATACGTCTGCCTATAGTACTATTGCTGTTTACAACCTATATATCCTTATATTAGGCCGCCTTCCTATTCGCCTTCTTAGATCTAAGTCTAAGCTTATAGACTAGGCCGCCGAGACTTGCTCTACTTATTTAGCCTTATTAGCTACTAATATCGACTACGAGTATCGCCTAGAACTATCTACGAACCCTAGTAGTCTTCTATCTCTACTAGTTTATACTACTAAAGACATTACGCGTCGCTATTAAAAGCAGATCGACTAAGAGCGTCGTAAGAAGCAAGTATAGTAAGAGGAGGCAAAGGCGGAGGTAGAGGCTCCGAGAGAGGCTTCGGATTTTATCTATAGTAGTAGTAAGGACGCAGAGATGTCGGATGCTTAGTAGTATAGATAGAGAGGTAGTCTCGAATAAGGTCGAAGTCTAAATAGAGCGATAGCGATATAATAGACTTCGACCTTCGAGACTACTCTAGTCTAGTCTGCCCTAGTCTGTCCGTTACGTAATAATAAGCCTATTTAGTATAGTCCGGGTTACGAGTGTACTAATTGTCGTTAAATATGCGATTTCGTTAAAAATGCGATTTCTATACTCTTTACTAACCCTCTTAACTATAATTAAAACGATAACGAGGGCGGCTTCTAATTGGCTAGCTATAAGGCGAAAGCTTCGCTCGCACTTCTAGGCACGCGTAGCCGCCTAGGAGCACATTTTATAGTCCTCCGGTATATTACGCTTTCACGGACATCGGGAGTGAATATCGAGAGTTCTACCGCGCTTATAGCGTCCTCGAGAGCACATGCTCTCGCTTATTAGGCTCAATTCCTTCTCGCAAGGTAGAAGAATACCTCTTGAGTCTAAATCGTTCGCAATGCGAGCTCGCTGTCGCCGGCTGAGTATCTATCCACATTCTAGTTCTACATATCATGTTCTCATTTTCAGCGATAACCTTAGAATCGCTTGGTTCTATGATGTGTAAGTGTCCGCGAATGGTCAGGAGCTTCGATTGGCTGCCAGCTGACCTATAGCTCATCGGCGAATCGTCCAACATCGAAATCATCGTGCTCGAACGTCCCATCCGTTCCATTTGTTGGCAGATCCAGTTTGAGGGTTCCCATTTCGGCACGCTTCTTCAAACCTTCGGCACGCTTCCGTTCCCGTCGAACGTCTGCTGGTTCCCAGTCCGCCTTATGCTTGTGATCACCGTTCGTCTCATGGCCAAGCAAAGCATGCTGAAATCTCTTCGTGCGCTCTGCATTCGTTTGGAACCGTGAATTGGCAAGCTCAAGCAGAGTGCGCAGATACTGGTCCGAAACCATAGGCCGGATTATACCATCTGTGTCCTGGTATGCAATGATTGTCTCCAAAGCAAGACCTTGAGTTCTGATGGCCACCATAGGTGTAGGATTGGGTCCAGTGATATTCGAGATGCCAGACTCTCGGAAGCCCGCTCCCATGGCTGCTGTGTGACAATGTTGCGCATTTTGCAGGCTAGATGTCAAGACATGCAGAATCTGACGAAAGGAGAGATTAGAGGTCTCGACGAAAGAGATACGGACGAAATTGTGCTTACCATAGGCTCGAATTTGAGATGTACGAATCGCGGCCGCGTTTCTGTGCCTGGGCAGGAGACAGGCACTTCATGTGGAAGTCCAAGCAGCGAGGCAACAGCACCCGCCTCACTCAGCGTCTCCATCTCAAGCGGATCATGAGATACGAAGAGCCACCTTCCACCACCTTTGCCTTGGGTGGAGGCAGATATCACGTCGGTACTTTCTTGGACTTCAGACTGCCCGGATTTTGGCGGGCCTTCCAGAAACACCGCAATTCGCCCAGCACAACTACTCGTCGTCACATAGCCATCGCGCTGATTTATGCTGTTCACAAGATCTCTGATCTGGCTGTCCACCGAGCCTTTCGGGGATAAGTCATCATACTGCTCCTCTGGTCTGGCGAGGTCTTGGAGGATCTTGGCTTTCCTCTCCTGGAATCCGGACATGGCGGAGTCGCGTGGCGCAGCCTTGTGACTTTGGCTCTGAATTTAAGAAACGTGGTGTCTGGTTGTGGGTTGCGCGTGCGACACGAGGGGGTTGGGGTTATGCTTGTGCGTTGTTCTTTAAGACAAGGCAACCAAGATAAGGTTCTGGACATTTCTTAGCGTATCAGGTCAGCGGGCCGAATCGGATCCAGCTCCGTGCTTGAGATCTGAGATGCGTTTTCTTCGCGATGCACTTCCCTTCTTCCTACAACCTCGACAGCGGGCATCATCCCTCGGCAGAATACGCCACCAGCGGCATAATAACGCACATATATCTCTGCCGCCTGCGCGACACTTCGCTGACATAACGATGGCAGCTGCAAGAGCGCTCTGCAATGCACTAGACATACGCGACGAGATACTCAAATGAGAGACCGATATCTGCGCACTGCCGTTCATGATTGCTGCAAGCATTGTCACCTAAGGAAGAGGATATAATCTAGCGCCTCAAGGTCCTTGCGCGCCACCGCCGATAATTCAAGAGCGGAAGCGCCTCTAGATCTGGAGGAGAGTACTCTGGCATACTTGCACAAGCTATGGTGGCTTCGCAGCCGCTCATTCAATTGCGCGGGACGCATCCGAGTGCAGCTCATGTCTCCTCGACGATCTTCTCTGGGGAAAGCAACGTGGCTTCGCTGGCCAGGAACTGTGGTACAGAGCTGCCGCCGAGAATGCAAGATCCTTGGAAATACTCCTCGCAAGGTTGGCTTCATCTTCCGCTGGCGGCCTCTCAGCAGCTCTCCAGCTGACCCAGCAAGGTGTAGCACCAATCTTTGAGTGTTCCAGTCATGCTTCTATTCACCAACATGGAAGACCTGCCTCAGAGCCCGAGCAGTGAGTTGGAAGTACGCCACCTAGGGCCGCCATCGCGCCCAGCCAGTGAAGAGTAACTCCGTGAGCTTCCTCAACTAAGACTTCAGAACGCCAGTAGGTATAGCGAAGCTTTCGTGATCGAAGGAGGAGGGGCATTTCAGTTGAGACGCCTGAAATTCTACGAGAAGTTGAGTTGACTGGATGAAAATTGGTGGAAGTGACTCCCTACACAAATTCGCGCCATGAGAGTGCGGCTTACACAGTGGACATGGCCCGGTTTAACCCAAACGTAACTGTTGCCTTGCTGGTTCGTACATGTCTATGTACTTCCCATACGTGCAAGCTATGACGAAAGCTGCACTCCGATTGTGGTCGCACGGCTTGAACCAAGATCAGCGCCTGTCATGACCTTTCTCTCGGTGGTATCGCTCACTCAAAATGCCCAAGCAAGATCTTGAAGAACGGAAATGAGGAACAGGGCGATTAGCTGCAGAGAATATCAATTTGAAGAAGTGGGGTTGCTTGCAGTATTTTGAAATGCTCGTGGCCAATTCTCTAAGCGCCCCCGTGCCGCATGCATCTCGACTATATTTGGCCTGAAACAAGTACTACGAGCCACTTAGGCATAGCTCTCAAAGCCACTGGTATATACGTCGGTGGTGATGGCGGCCTGGCCTCAGCCTCATGAGTGCATAGGGCGATTCAGGCACTCTCTCTAATATCTCTTGATTCCTTCCATACTCTACACATTACGATATTCTCCACACACTCGCTTGCTATATCATTCGCTAGGAAAAGGCATCGCCATATTTCTAGCACAGCAACGCCTATATCAACAAGCCCCGCTTGACACGACCCGGCTACAACACCGACGCGAGCCGTCGCGATGTCTTCAACGGACTCCTTCTCTACAGCGAGTTCGAGCGCGACTACAGCAACTAGCAGTACAGCCGACAACGAATTTTCCTTCAGTATACGCGAGACGACCATCCGAAATATCGCGATCGCTGTCGGCATCTCACTCACCGTTCTCTTGATATGCACACTCATTGCAATCGAAGTCATGCGGCGAAAGATGAAGCGTATGAGGAGGCAGCTGGACGTGTACGCAATGAAGCTCGAGGGACTGAGCCCACGCCTGAGAACTGGACATGGCTATCATTCGGTGCCGCCCAGTGCCGTCGAGAACGGCAGCATACCGCGATTTGAGCTGGATGGGTCGCGCGAGGTCGTAGAATCGGACGCGAGGTTTCTAGGATCGCGATCGCATCGACGGGATGAGTCTTTCGTTTTGAAGCTTGATAGCCAGCCCAGCTCGCCGCAGAGATCGAGTAGTAGGGAGAGATTGCGATGACGATGATGGAGAGATTTAGATATAGTGGATCATTGCTGGTAGATGTTATCTTTGAAGAGAAGTAAGACTGTACAGCTATTGAGCTGGGTATTGACGACTTAATGTATATACTGCAGTTCGCTCTCTCGATACTGCGTGCAAGCGAACTGCGGCGGCTGTGGTGAATTGCCGTGCTGAGCATCTGAGTGCAAGCTAGGAGAAGCATTGAGATATTCTTGGGAGCAAAGAGTCAATGTATTGTCAGTCGCAATGGGATGCAGCAGCAGAATTGAACTGCAGGTGAATACGAACGATTACGTAAGCCGCTCAGAGAAATGAAAACTCTTCTGAAGCTTGTTCGGTTGCTATGCTACCCACCGACAACACCTTCGCACACCACGACCACGATGCATTATCTGCTCGATCAGTTCCAGCGAGCGAGCTGGCCGTGAGTTGATCTCAGATCCCACGGAGCATTGCGATGACCATGAAAATTCTCCTCGAAACGAACTCCATCCTCGAGACTTTGCACATGGCCCATCATGTGCTCGACATGCCATAGACGCCGATTGAAGAGCTGGGCATATTCATTGAAGAAGTAGTTACGCTGTTTTGCAAGAGAAGTCTAGAGACACACACATCGTACTCGCAAATGGCGTTTGTTGGAACAGTGACGGTAGAGAAGCGAACCGCATTGCCACTGCAATTACTGGTTACCGTATGCAGGACTTTGAAAGCTGATATTCGCACACAATGGCCGTTTGGGAAGACAATAATGTGAGGCTCACAGTCACAACCAAAGCGAGGCAGCTGCCTTGGTGTCTGACAGCCAGCTTTCGCCGGTTGATGTCCAGGCAGTCCTTTCCACTCCCTCCAACTTGTCAGTGCGTGCTCTCACACGACTCGAGCATCTCCGCTACTCCTTTTACGCGCATTGCGGATAACTTTCGGCGGGCTATTGCGCTGCGGGATAATGTCAGTAGTATTTCTATCGGACGCTCCGCCTGGGCCAAGACAGAATGGTCGCAAAAGCATTCGACACTGGCTGATATTCCGCGACGAACTACAAGACTCAATTCCCATTCGCCCATCAAACACTCTCCGAAAAGTGAGCGGCGTCGCTGCATTCAATGGGATTGTGCTCTTCGATCGATTGATTCGCTGCTCGGCTGATCGGCCGCGTTCTGCCAAGCACTGACCAGTGGATCTCCCAAAGAACAACATCCGCCACTCTATCTACACTTCATGCAGCTATTGCATCGGCGCAATGCTTCGACTCGAGTTCCTTCGATCCTAAGCTGTCTATTCGGCCTTCCAGCAGATACGTTTCTGGGCAAAGCCTTGTCTCCTACGCCATGAAGGAACGATCGTCTATCAGCCAAGACGGCGTGGACGCAGCCAACGTAGAACTTTGGAAGGATGTCCGAAGCTGTTCATTCGGTTGACTCTCTTTGTACAATCTGAGCGAGCCGTCCAGCTTCTTGCTCTCGGCTCCGCCCTAACGACATTTGCTCTGCGATTTTTGATCCAATGATATCGGGAGGCAGGAAGATGCGAGGCCGTATCAAAGCAGTGCGATATTGTGAAACAGGCTATATGCTTCTTGCGCCATGAATATACGCCACGAACGCTTGACAACTTGATCTGCGTTATGCAAGAACATGTGAGAGCTCATGGCTCTTCCGAAGAGCAAGCCGACCAGCAGTGGCATGAAAGAAGTCGATCGCGTAGACTGAAGACCTCAGGCCATCATGAAGGATAGTATATATCTCTATCTGTGACCTTCCCTCCAACTCTTCACCAGCATCTACTTGCACTCCAGCCAGTCCTTCGTTCCGCCTTGGCGCAGTCATTCATTCCACCCTAGTCACTCACTTATTCACACTCATTTTTGCAACCATGCACTCTATCAGGAATCTTCTCGCACTGTCAGCAGTGCTGCCGGCAGCACTTGCTCAGTTTACAGCCAAGATCAATCGAGTACAGACAGCACACACAATTTCAGGCTCATGGATCGCTCGTGTTGAGAGCAACGAACTTCTCGACACGGTCCTCTCCACCGTTTTCGAATCCGCAGGCGTCGAGTCAAAAGCCAACTATACCATCGGTGGCGTAAAAGGTTTCTCCTTCGACGGCGACGATGCAATTTTAGATATTCTAGAGACGCTCGGAGCTATCACATCTGTCGAACCCGACACTAAAGTCTGGGCTTCCGTGCCTCGCGGCTATATTTCTCAGCGCCAGGATGCTCCTTTTGCAAATGGGAGCCTGACATCTCAGAACGGGTCGACGTGGGGTTTGAGCAGGATTTCTCACCGTGAGCGTGGCGCAGACGATTACATTTATGACCGCTCTGCTGGCAAGGACACTTTCATCTATGTGATTGACACTGGTATCAATACCGAGCATTCGGAATTTGGCGGAAGAGCGACTCTTGGGAAGAGCTTCGTCTCTGGTTCTGATGGGGAGGATGATCAGGGACATGGAACTCACTGCTCAGGAACAGCTGCGGGTAGCAAGTACGGTGTTGTAAGTGTATATGCAGTCTTGAGAAGCTTGAACGATGGCTGACCCTCCTTTATCATAGGCCAAGAATGCCAACCTGATCGGGGTGAAAGTTCTTGGCGCTGATGGCAGCGGCAGCAACTCTGGTGTTCTGCGAGGAATCCAATGGGCAGTCGACAACGCCAAACAGGAGGGACACATTGATCGCGCAGTCCTCAGTATGTCTCTCGGTGGCCCATTCTCTCGAACCACCAACGATGCAATTGCCTCTGCCGTCGAAGAAGGGGCTTTCATCGCCGTAGCCGCCGGTAACGAGGGCGAAGACGCCAGTCACTCATCCCCAGCATCTGCACCTCAGGTACGTAATCCCAATCCCCAACCCACCATCAAAATCCTAACCAACTCCACCCCCCAGGCCTGCACCGTCGGCGCCACAACGCGCTCAGACTCCATAGCCAGCTTCTCCAATTTCGGCCCTCTGCTCGACATCTTCGCACCCGGCCAAAACATCACGAGCGCTTGGATCGGGTCCAGAACTTCTGTGAACACCATCTCGGGTACCAGTATGGCGACGCCTCACATCGCGGGTCTCGCGGCTTATCTTCTTGCGCTGGAAGGTCCGCGTTCGCCTGCGCAGCTTTGTGAGAGGATTCGAGAGCTTGCTACGAAGGATGTTATTGGGAATTTGGATGGTGGGGATGGGAGTCCGAATTTGATTGCGTATAATGGGAATGGGGCGTAGGTTTGGGGGGTGGAATGGAGGGAGGGAAGGGAAGGGGGAAAGCGGGAGGGGATTTTGGGTAGGAAGGGTTTGTTGGTCGGTGTTGATGGATATTGAAGAACGACAGTTCTTCTATAGAAGTTTCGTATAGACCTTGACTCCCTCCCTCTTTGCTGACTCAAGTGTCTCGTGACTGCCTCGTTTCCAGCGTAATGGTCAGCCCTAGAGCTGGGCGGGAGCTCTTCACAGTAGCGTGCGGATATGTAAGTAGCGGGCACGGCACCGAGAGGGAGGAAGAAGAAGGAGGGGAGGGCTGTGCAACACCTCCAGCTGCACTCAATTTATGCATCTTCTGCTGGCTCCTACCGTATCGAGGTCTATACCGCAGTTCGATGAAGACACAACATTCTGTCGTGTTCAGCTGTTGTGAGGCAGTGCTTTGCATTCCTCGGGGTTCATTTTCAGGTGGACACGAACACGTCACGTCACGTTGCTTGCCTGGCATCCAGTCGGTTTTCTCGGCTGGTGAAGAAGTTTCGTTGCTGCTCAACGTAACATGAGATCGAGATGGCATATGCATGTTCACTGCTGTGACGATTGAGAGCTTCTTCCGTGCCATCTAAATGGCTGTGGCCACGGCAGCTAGATCGTTGATGTCTTCGCCACGAGGGGTGAGCTGCTAGTGGTGTGCCTGGCGGGTCAGGAGTGAATTTGAGGGTGCAGGTCTCTCTGCGGAGTACTCCTACTCCCAACATTGAAGCTGTCAGAAGGGGCGGTGAAGTGGGTTTCTTTGGTCATGCTGCGCACGTTCTGCAAAGGATGCAAGGGCCACGGTTTGGCTGGTGACCAATGCCATCGTTCACATGCGCCGGAAGGCTTTCCCGCCAAAGTCTATGTGTGTCCAGTAGCTGCGGCTTCGTTCATCAGCCCACCAGAGAGATGCGAGGTCCCTCTTCTGCAGAGAACGGCGTGGTTGTCGTAACACCGCAGCTCAAGGCTCCGCCAGGCCGCAGCAGCTACCCTACCCTACCCTACCCTACCCGTGTCTACTCGACATGGGCAGCACACTGGGCGCAGTAGCAGCTGTGGAGTTGATATGCGAAACACATGCAACTCGAGGCCCTCTATTCTCCTCCGCCCTAGTCTCCTTTGAACCCCATTTCACTTGAGTAGCTATCTTATCCAACTGGACAGATGCTTTGCCATCGATCACATGGAACCGTCTTACCGCGAGCGCCACGACTATCCGAGCGCATCTCGACCCCGGCGTCGACCTGACATTCCATCTTCGAGGGACAACAACGCGAGAGTGGGGTACGAGCGCGTGAACAGACATCGACTTGGCGGCAACTGACGACTGATGAAAATGGACAGGCACGGATCGCATTACTCCAGCAAACCAGCGAGCGATCGATATGACCCGCGATACCACTGCCCGCCAACCCCATCAGTCACGAGCAGAACTTCCCGATCGCCGTTGAGGAGGCGACGCTCATGGCCACCTCAGCCATGTGCCGAAGACGAGATGGTCTCATTGCGCAAGGAGGCTGGGTCGCTGAAGTTGTTGAAGGAGATTAGCCAGAGCGAGACAGTACCGTCGCGGGGCACCGTCGATCAAGAGCCAGTCATCATCGATGTACCTGAATATCACCAGCACAACCACAGCCACTCGAGGCCGACAGGCCCGGGACACAGCAGCACGGGCATCCCGACGCCGCCGACGAGCGAGGATGAGAGAGCGCGTCGAGCCAGGCGGAAACCATCGCGGCTGCACATCAACAAGCATGATCAGCATGCGCCGGAAATATCGAAGCGCACAGCATCGCCTTATGCGTACACTCCGTCTACGCCGTCGAAGAAGGACGAGTCGTCAAGCCATCGATTGACGCCTCAGTCTGCTACAGCCCATGGACCTCGATCACCTCGAAGGGACTCCGGCCGACACAGCCCAGGCCCGCGTGTAGGGAAGGACTGCCTCGACGCTTCCGATGAGTCTGCAATCGACGACGATGACTATGATCGCCGTTACAATGACAAAAAATCTCTCTCGGGCAATGGCAAGAGAATGGCCGAGTTGAACGAGCCCAAGGGCCCTCGGAGCTCTGTCGTCGACTTCGCTACTCTGCCTGCTGGCAATGCGCCTCCAATCAGACGAGCACACCTGGATGCCAGGAGAATGACTGACACGCAGAATACTCTTCCAACGTTGGGTCGGCTCAACATCGACAAGTCGCGAAAACCAACGCCCTTGATGGCATCTACATCTCTCAGTGAAGCACACGAAATGCCTGTGCAAGCCTCAGCAACGCTCGATCCAAGATCTGCTGAACGCTTCTACCCGCGCTCTCGTGATCGGAGCTATTCGTCGTCACGACCAGTATCCCGAGAAGGATCTGTGGCCAATGACACGCCTCTTTCGCGCTCGCCGAGGATGAGCGCAGAGTTCCCGCCCAGTACGAGTATCAACGCTTCGAAACCTCCTTCGGAAAATACGTCGCGGCCTTCCTCACCGTCTCCTCTAACGCCTGCTGCTGATTCGCCACGTCTTCCGAGGACCGATCTTGATTGGAGCACGCTTCTGGCGAACAATGCCGCAAGGCGAAGCATGCCTCCTTCGAGACTTGGTTCTGCTGTCTCTCAGGAGCCTACGCCGACATCAAGCTCATCACGAAGGACCACTCCAAGGGAGACTCCGCCCAATCTCACACCGAGCCAGTCATCCAACACGCTGCCATATCCGGAAGACAACAGCCTGATGGGGTCGAGCATCGCCATGCCAGACGATCGTCAGCACGCCTACTACCCTCCAAAGAATCCTATGCTTGCGCCATCCTCCATGACCGATGTTCCGCGAGACTCTTCGCCGGCACCCAGCATATCATCACAATCCTCTGCCAAGCTCCCTATCAGACCGACTTTCAATCGTGGCTATTCTGCTGCTGATGCTTCACCTGCAGTCGCAGCAGACACTAGACCACGGTTTACAGCAAACAGTCGCACAGCCTCTTTCGCCACCACATCTCAGACCAAGAAGGAACTTGCAGTCCTGGTCAAGAAAGGATTGCCTCCTTGTCCAAGACAGGAACCAGCGGCTGACAAACACGATTGGTATACCATCATCGGCCACACAAATATCGATTTCTGTCCCGACTGCATTGATACCCTCTTCGAACGTACGGTATTCCGGCCTTTGTTCAGACGATCACTTCCACGCAACGACTTTGAGAAAGTGCGATGCGCTTTTGGATCGCCGTGGATAAGACTTGCTTGGCTCCTTACCCTGCAGCAACAAAGAACCGACTTGACGCTTTTGCAGGATGTTGCCGATATCGAGGAGAGCAGCACACCGTGCCCAGGAGGTACCGAGTCGGTTCAGAATTGGTATGGCCTGCGTGACCCCGATGGACTTTTCGTCCGCGACTTCCATCTCTGCTATGGTGACGTTCGCAAGATTGAGTGTCTGCTTCCAACGCTTTCTGGTGTCTTCGTCCGACTGCCTGCCAGAGCATCCTATACGAAGAGTGTCTGCGCCATACGCACGGACAGCACAAGATTCTCCACGTATCTAGATGCGTTGGTGTCTTCACACGAGAAAGCATTGCAGGCACGAAAGAACGCAGATCCAATGCCCCTCATCGAGCTGGTCGAGCGCAAGACACGTCTACGTGAATGCACAAGGGACAATGTGCTCGTCAATGCCCTCTGGCATTACATCCCTGATCTTGCACCCGCCATGACCGTGTGCGAAGATTGCTTCGAGGCAGTTGTGGAACGCGAGATCAGAAAAAACAAGTCTCTGGCCAAGAAATTCCAACGCACGTTGCAACCCGTCTACAACGAAGGCATGGGATGCAGTTGCCAGCTTTATTCCCCGTATATGCGAAAAGTCTTCCAGCGAGCCGTGGAGGATAACGATTTCAAGTATTTGGTCCGGAAAGCTAAGGAGAGGCGTGAGGCGGAGTTGCGATTGCAGGATCGTTTCAAGGCGGTGATGAGTAAGGCGAGGAGGTTGTCTCAGGAAGGCCATATTGATGAAGAGGATGAGAGGCGGTTGAATCGGGAGTTGGAGAAGATTTCGAGTGAGTGGAAGGAGAGGTGGGAGTGAGTAGTGGTTGATGTGATAGATTTCTGATGATTATGAAAATGAAGGGGTTGGGAAGTTTTCATCATTATTGTTGCCGAAGTGATCGTACAGTTCATGCATGTGTGTAGTAGTTCTTTTCCACTGAGCTTGAGTAGGTCATTCCCTGCCACTCGCTCACCTTATCGTACAGTACCATTCATGCATGTATTAGCTCCCTTCCTCTCCCTCTCTCTCTCTCTATCAAGATCGACCAGATCTAGTCTTGCTCTCTGAATATCACCTTCGTAGTATGATAGGAGCCCAAGACCTCGAAAGTCAAAGTTCATCAAGTCCATCATCGTCATCGTCCTCGTCCTCCTCCTCCTCCAATTTCTCCTTCTTGACCTTAGCCTTCTTCCTCGGCGTCTCCTCGTCGTCAACATCATCATCTCCATTCTCCTCCTTAGCCTTGGCCTTGGTATTATTAACTTTCCGACCTATTCCAAACCAAAGAATTTTAGCAAAACCACAAAATCACCCTGGAGTCGAACTCACCTCTCTTGTTCTTCCCCCCTTCGACCTTCTTCTCCTTCTCCCCCCTCCCAATCTCCTCGTTTATCTCTTTGGCCCTCGCTTTCACCGCGCGAAACATATGTTCGTATCCCGAAGCCGTCTTCGTTCCGTCGATTTGCGCCATGATTTTGTAGTGTTTTGCGCCCAAGGTGGTGCCGGATTCGGAGAGGGCGGCGAGGAGGCAGGAGACGATTTGGAAGGTGAATTGGGGGGAGTTGGTGGTGGGGGGCATTGTGAGGGTGGTGGGGTTGAGGGTGGATGGAGGTTTTGATGGTTGGAGTGGGGGTTCTTGTTTGTGGGTGGGAGGAGGTTGGAGGTGGATGTGGAGGAGTGAGAAGAAAGAGTTTCGCCTTACGGTAAGTGAGGTTTGGCAGGCAGCGGGTACAGGTGCGCGCGTTGGCTAATGATGCTTGTGATAGTTGTCAGATGTAACGGCGTTGCGGATGCTGCTGCAAACTGTGTGAGGGCTGCACCGAATTTGAGGCAAGTTGCTGCTTCACTTCTGGATGCTCCTCGCCGACGGTTCATTGGTCCGATATTGTACGATCCAGACGGCTCGGATGGTGCTGCCTTCTCTTACTTGCAAGCCATTTGCGTCTACCACTCTTACGCTCTCTCTCTCGAAAGTGCTAGTTCGACACACTATGGTACTCCCAGATGCTCAGTTCCATTCCAGTACGGGATCACACCTCCACTGTGCAGTACCTAAGCTACTCGCAACAGCGTATGTCCCCGATCCTATCCAGCCTACGTCTCCTAACCAGCCCGATCCAGCTTTTCTTAGATTCCTGTGGAGTGTGATGACGAGATGTCTGGTCTGTGAGGCAAATGGGAGAAGGAGCAAATCAGGCCACCATGGCTTTCGCTTTCCACACCGCAAAGCCACGTGGTGACCACCGTCTTATCGATAAGGGCCTGCTCGAATTTCTGCATTGCCTCGACTGTGAACATAAATCTGCAGTGACAACACATTCTCTCCACCCGACGCCAAGCTGGCCAGCGCACTCCCTTTTCGCTTCAAGGCCGGCGGCGACGGCCCTCGCGCATCGTCTCACTCCATGGCCGCCACCGACCACCACAGCCACCGCCCCACCACGAAAACCGTTAACAAGCCTTTTAAAGCCCGCCACGCTTCCAAGAACTCGCTGAAGAACGCGCAGAAGGGCAAGGTCGAAGCGTGGGAGACGGCAAAAGGCACAAGAAAGACACCGCATCAGCAGGTCATGTCCAAGTTTGACCGTAAGAACCGTGCCAAGCAACTTCGCATTAACCACGCACACGATCGCGACGACAAGGCCTCCGTGTTCGCTGGAAAGGATGGCGCTCCGAGAATCGTTTCAATCGTGCCGCTTTGCCAAGATATCAATCAGAGCGACATCATCAACGAGCTTAATGGGAGTGTGGATGCCGATTCGGAGGAGCAAGCACAGTCGAGCGTGTGGATACCACGATTCAAGCAGAAAGTTCGATATTTGACCCCATCTCGCGACATGCTACAGTGCTTAGATAGCTGTCGAGTCGCAGATTTTGTCCTCTTCGTGCTCAGCGCCAATGAAGAAGCGGACGAGCGAGGAGAGCAGATCTTGCGATGCATCGAGGCGCAGGGTGTCTCGACCGTGCTGACTGGAGTTTATGGCTTGGATAAGGTGGAACCGGCGAAGAAGAGACCCGATGTCGTCAAAAGCTTGAGGAGCTTCATTACGCATTTCTTCGCTACGCAAGAAAAGGTGCACGATCTGGGCAGCAGACAGGATTGCAGTAATGTTATGAGGAGTTTGTGCACGACTATGCCAAAGGGTATTCGCTGGAGAGAGGATAGGAGTTGGATGCTGCTGGAAGACTGTCGCATGGAAGGCGAGCAAGCCGTCGTTACAGGTGTCGTCCGGGGCAGAGGACTCAATGCAGACCGACTGGTCCAGGTCGGAGATTGGGGTGACTTCCAGATTGAGAAAATTACCGCTGCACCACTTGAGCAGAGGCATAAGAAGGCGAAGAAAGACGAGATGGCTGTTGACGTGCCAGAAGGAGAGCAGGTCCTTGGACAGCCTACAGAAGATTGCGACGATCTGGCAGAGCTTGCTCCGGAAGAAGCCACCATGGATGATATGCCCACCGCCTCGATTGCCCCTTCGGATCGTAAAGCGGTCCTTCTTGATGACCACCACTATTTTGACGAGGACAAAGATGACGGCATTCCCGCTCCAAAACGATTGCCGAGGGGAACGAGCAAATACCAGGCAGCTTGGTATCTGGACGATCTTTCGGATTCTGGCTCCGACCTCGAAGATGTAGACGACAATGATGACGATGGAATGAACATGAACGGCTCGGTCGCAGCAGGACCTGCAGACGGCCATTTTGAAGATAGGATGGACGAGGCTACGGAAGCGGGCGCTGCTACGGAATATGCACAGAGCGAGGCATTCTTTGATCAAGCGCCAGATGCCGAGGCAGATCAAATCGAGGCCTATCGAAAGCAGAGAAGAGAAGATGCCGAAGATGACCTGGAATTCCCAGATGAGATTGAGTTGCACCCCCACATGAATGCGCGAGAACGGCTGGCACGGTATAGAGGATTGAAAAGCTTACGGACAAGCAAATGGGAGACAGAAGAGGACAAGCCATACGAACCTGATGAGTACAGTCGACTGCTGGAGATCGCAGACTACAAGTCTGCGAAGAATCGTGTTGTCAAAGAGGCAATGTTTGGTGGTGTCAAGCCGGGCACGAGAGTGAACGTCCACCTACGGATTCCCGAGGACCGTCGCGAAGAGATCGCTTCGCTACCCAAGCCAACGACACTCTTCTCTCTCCTTCGACATGAGCACAAACGCACTGTAGTGAATGTGTCCATGTCGCTCTCCTCAGAACACCCAGAACCGATCAAGAGCAAGACGTCAATCGTAATGCAATGCGGTCCTCGTCGTGTGCTCATCAACCCACTGTTCAGTGCTGCAGGGAACACGCCAAACAATGTCCACAAATTCGACCGTTACCTGCATCCCGGACAAACAGCAGTAGCAACCTTCATCGGCCCGGTGACTTGGGGATCAGTGCCTTGTCTTTTCTTTTCAACGCCGAAACCTGCTACTGATGCTGTAGAAGACCTCGCTCAATCACTGAATCCCACCACCGGCCTTTTCACGATGATCGCGACTGGCACCACGTTACCGCCATCAACGCAGCGCATCATTGCCAAGCGCATCATCCTCACAGGTCATCCGTACAAGATCCATAAGAAGCTGGTCACCGTACGATACATGTTCTTCAACAACGACGATGTCAACTACTTCCGTGCTTTGCAATTGTGGACTAAGAGAGGACGAAGCGGTTTCATCAAAGAGCCGCTTGGTACGCATGGATACTTTAAGGCTACGTTCGATGGCAAGATCAACCCGCTTGATGCTGTCGCTGTGAGCATGTACAAGCGAGTGTGGCCGAGACAGGCGCAGATCTGGCGGGCGAGTCAGCAAGGCGATGAGGAGGCGCCGCAGTTGATGGAGGTAGAAGGTTGAGGTTGGTATGGACAACGTAAAGAGACCCGGTCTCTGTAGCTACGACAAAAAATTCGCCTATACCTCGACGGGCTTTGTCGGCCGTTTCCGTCCTCGTACTTGTGATATTTATTTAAGCGAGTGGCGTTGGTGGCTCTGCAAGCGTGGGATGGGATGGGATGTTGCAGCGGCCTCTCGCAACTTTGCATCACTTCATGGGACTGCCTTGGCAGCATCAACAAATGCTGCGGATTGCCATGAACGGGACAATCTCAATCTTCTAACGTGTCATGGAGCACATTGATGCTCCCCATTCTTACGAGCGCAATGTCGCGCGAGACAGCGGTCGCCAGCACAATGGACACCACTACGGCCATAACTACTATACTTATCACGTCTTCAGCTCACACGCTGCACGAGTCATGATACCCGGTAGATTTCCAGATGGCTCTGCACTACACATGTCGCCTTCACCTTACAAGCAAACTTCGAAACTCATTAGAAGATACAAAGCTTGGAGAAAACTGCAAGATGCGAACAAGGCACGATTACAGATCCCACGAGAGCCAACAATTCTGCTAGCAGCACCGATTCTGTACGAAGATCTGTCCGGTGCGACAATCAAGCTCCCTTACGAGTACTTCTGTCGTTGGGCTACGCTGCATGCGCATTTGCAGTGCATATTCGAGAGCCGGACAGGCGTACATCTCATACGGCGGCTCGCTTTCGTTTTTGTTCGAATCGGGATGAGATCTGGTAGGAAATTCCAGTTCGAGCCAGAGAGGTGGGAAGATCATGTTGTGCCTGGCATGAGAGTCGGAGCGATGATGTTATTCCGAGACAGATCGCAAGGTCCATCACAGTTCTGCGCGTGTGGGAGCTCGAGACGTGAGATTGACGAGCTTCACGAAGTGGTTGCATGGTGTGTAGGTTGACGTTGGCGTGATTTGATTATTCTTACTGACTGCAAGCAGTGCTGACTGGACCCATACGACTTTGAACCAGTTTTCACAAAACGTGCCGCCACGCCTGATTCCGCAGCGCATAGCAGTCGCCATTTTCCGCCGAATCCTGTCTCATCTCACGTCGAGGTTTCTTGCTTCAAGGGCGTCATCATTACCAAGACAAACGATGCGTCTTCCCACATGACAACGTCCTCCTTTACCAGGCCTGCTCGCAAACAATCTAGAAGAACCCGTGTGCTACCCTGCGTCTCCGCGCACGAGAACCACACAGTATCCTACACATGTAACTGCGAAGCGGGCTTTTGCGCATGTGATGCTGAATCTTCTTTCACATATCGGAGAGGTGTCTCCGTTTTGGAACAAGAAGTGAAAGTCCCGGCCTGGCGCACTCGGCAAGATTCTTCGAGTCGTCGTCGAAGCAGTTGGCGCGAATTGTTGCCGTTCTCGAATCGCGGGAGGTACCGGCGATATTGAGATCGCTACTCGGGCTGAGATGGCTGGTCATGGGTTTTATCGAGGACAAAAGCTAGCGTCTAGGTCGTACAGCTTGTGAGAAGGCAGGCGTGTCTTTGCATTTTGGTTTCTTCTATGCTTGACGACAACTTTCAGATCACAATGATTATCACGCGCTGCAGGCGTCCAGATGTCGCTGCTACCACCGCACGATCCCTGGTCCGAGGAAGCTAAGCAGAGGGATTTACAGTGAGGAGCGAGCAGTAGGAGGCTTGTGAACATGACGAACGGTCGAAAGTGCATCATTGGGCATTTTACAGGACAAAGTCCCGGCACGGTCACATAGGCCTACAGCATGCGTTCTGAGTGCCTGCAAAACGCACCACTTTCTTATCAGTGTCTAGATCGACACTATGCTTGCGGCCGTCCTCGCCGTCGCCTCCTGTCAGCAGCCGAAGAGGGATACAAAGGAAGTCTCAACGTATTCGCCGTCGCTGTCGCCCTCCTCCATTCATCTCCGCCAGTAGGCTCGCCATCAGGACCATCATATACGACCTCCTCTCCAGCCGTATCGAACTCGACACCTTCCATCTCATCAGACCAAGCATCTCTCTTCTGCACCGCCTCTGACCGACCCTTCAACCTCCTCCTCCTCCTCAAATTCTCCCTCGCACCTTCTTCCCTCATCTTCCTCTCCCCGTCCTCCTCTCTCAATCTCCTTTTAGTCTCCCTCTCCCTCTTGATCCACCTACCATCCGGACTCTCCCACGGACTCGGCGGGCCTACCGACCCAAGCGATCTCACCGGACTCGTCATCGGAAGCCCAACAGGACTTCGTGCCGAAGAAGACTTCTCCACCCTCCCCCTCGCAACTTTCCGCCCCCATTTCCGTATCCTCCTCCTACCAACTACGATGCGGCTTCAAACTCACCGCACTAGAACCCCTACTCACGACCTGTGTCGTCTTCTCACCCCCCTCTCCCGCAAAACTCGCAGGCGTCAACGGAAGAGCTCCGCCTCCAGAATCCCAGCATTCCACCTCGCCTTTTCGTACGCAACCCGAGCCTTCTTCACCCTCCGCGCGAAAAAAGTCTCGAGATCGGATCGAACCCTTTTTCTTATAATCCTCATCCCAAGCTCTTTGGCGCAGCGCCCCCCCAGAACTCGTACTAATCACACTGTAATTCGCAACTCCTCGGCTACAGAGTCCCATCTCTTGAGTCCCACGCGCCAACATTCTTCGCGCCGTCTCAACCTGTACATGCGGAGGAGGGGGGGTCCTCAATAGTAGGTAGGCTCGGAGCTCATCATCGCCTCCTGTGTAGCTGCTCAGATCGCCCTTGGAAGAAATCGCGCTGCGGGGAGATCGGAGAGCACTTTTGCAGCATCTTCGGCGAGAAATTTTCGATTCCGATTCTTGTTTGGTGAAGGAGAGAAGGAATTCCAAATCTTGTCGACATTTGTTGAAGGAGATTTTTGGCGGTTTGGACGCTGGCGGCGGCGGCGTTTGTCTGAACGTTTTTGCTCTAGTCCCTTCACTTCCTCCTCTTTGTCTTTTCGCTCCATCTCAGACTCGACAGCATCCTGTAGAGCGGTGATAAAGTCCTCTGCGCTTCCTTCCTGGTAAATTCTGTCGGAAGATTTCCTTCTGGGTCTTGTTTCGGTATGCGAGATGACTGCTGGTGTTGTTGTGGCATGTTGCACATCTACATCGGCTTGTTCGGAGACCACAGCACGACCAAATATGAGGTCGCGAATGCCTCGTAAGAAGTCCATGGGCCGTTCTCAGTGGCATTGCATGATCGGCAAGCACAACTCACAAGCAGAGGTTCGAATTGATCGCCGGAATGAGGCACGTCACAAGGATGTGACGTCTTTGTCGTCTTTGTATTTGCTCTTTGTGCTTCAACTCTCGCACAGGATGCAGATCGAATCATTATAAGCGGAGTTTGCACAGAGGGAATTCATACCACACGATTGAGAAATCGATTCGTTCGTGTCTCGAAGGAGCTTCTGACTCCATGAAATCAGGTCAGGTCACCCAAAGTATCCAGCGTATGCATTCCAGAAATGCTCAACACCACACCCCGTTCTGCCATGAGTTCCTGTACATATTCGCCAAACAAAGTCCTACTGGTTGTTGCTCTTGTGATGCTTTCTGGCAGTAGTCGCCTCCAAGACATCTTCTGCTCGACGCTTCATCACCTTTTTTCCCGACATCATATCCAGCCCATCTAGTGTGCCAGTTATTGAAGTCATGCTTGGAACCTTCGCTCTCTCCTCGCCTCTCTCCTCGCCATGTCCTTGTGAGGGGTCTTCACCATGATCTTGGAGCAGATCATCCATATCCTCGAACATGTCTGTGTCTTCGCTGGCATTCTTTTGAGCCGTGAGGTCCTCGCCGCTCTTGACAGCAGTATCGTTGACATATTCGGCAGTTTCGGATAGAATACCACAATCGATCTGTTCGTCGGCTGCGCTATCATTCCGACCAAATGGGGTGCCGAGACCGAGATCGAAACAGTCGTCATCTGTAGCCGCGGCATCGGTCTGGACGTCCAAATCTAAGTCGTCGAGATCAGTTTCGTCAGCTATAGCCACAGGCGTCGTGGCCGCGTCCGCGTTGACAGCCACGGTCATCGACCCGTCCACAGAATTGGCCTGGTCGTTAGCTTCCGCCATCTGACCGTTTGCTACTGGGACAGCATCTGGTTCTTTGGAGTGCCCGTTGATAGGAATGAAAGGATCAGATTCAGCTGGTGTCGTTGATTCCAATGATCCGAGTGATGCTGTGGATGATGAATCGTTCTCCAATCCCTCGTCGGCAGTGCTTTGGGAAGAGCAGCTCAGTATATCACCGAGTGCAGAGCAAATACAGCCCTCCGCGTGTTTGGTCTCATGCAATTTTTGAGCATATGAGCTGGAGATATCGGTCCGCATGTGGTCCAGTTCTTTTTGTGAGAAACCCATCTGTATTGCACATTCGCGATCCTTTCTGGCTTTTTCAACGTTCGTGGCCTCTTCCATGAGATTCAACTTGACAATGCTACGGAGAGAGAGGCTGCCTTTCGCTTTAGCCATGGGCTCGTGATAGTACCCAGTCTGTCGCACGATCTTGGTGTAAGCAGTGTCTTTCGATTTCTCGCCATCGGCATAGATGGTGTCAATCTTAATCTTTGCACATCTGACACTTGATCAGGAGAGTTGGTCGATCGTGCTGAGAAACATCATTTGGCGATACTTGTAAGAGATGTCTGTATACTTCCAGCTGATGTTGCCGTAATAATGCATTCTTACGTGCAGCATTTTGACATTACGCGTTCGTAGTGCGGAGCGGAGCTCATCATGTCATGACATATCTTTCTGGAGCGTGTACAGAGTCGCGAGGTCCGGCAGCGGCGTGGCCTCCTGGGGCGGGGCCGACATGCTGCTTATGCTGGCCTGATTGAGAATCTCCAGTCAGGTCGTGATGTATTATATCATGACCAGGATGTTGTTCAGGCGCTGATCGATCCTGCGAGAAGTTGAGAGCAGCGAGGTGAAGTGCTGCCAAGCCTCCTTGGCCGTGCCTATCGATATGGAAGCTTACACATCAGTCAGTCTATCACTACACCACAGTTCATCCCCAGACATTCCCTTCGTCACACCGTTTCCAGAGAAAATACACAAACACCCACCATGGCAGACATCCAACCAACCAAAACCATCACCTACAAAACCATCGACAAGCTCGAGATCCCCCTGGACATCTATCTCCCCTCCACCCCCTCAAACTCTCCCATCCTCATCTGGTTCCACGGCGGAGGCCTCCTCCAAGGCCACAGAGGCCAATTAGCACCATGGATGCGCAAAGCCCCAGAAAAATACCACATCGCCGTCATCTCCGCCGACTACCGGCTCGCACCTCAAGCCACAGTCTCAGAAATCTGCGACGACGTCCTCGACTGCCTAAACTTCATCCGCTCACAACTCTCCTCCCACCTCCCCGAAGGCTCCATCGACACCAGCAAACTCGCAGTCTCAGGCTCTTCCGCAGGAGGCTACCTCACCCTCCTCACAGGCCTCTATGCAGATCCAAAACCAACCGTCATCCTACCGATTTACCCCATCACAGATCCTTTGGGGACATTCTTTACGAATCCCCAGCCACCGCCTTTCGGACGCACGATCCCTCCGCGCGAGGATTTGGCGGAGTTTTTGGATCCCGGTGCCCCGCAAGTTGCCAATAATCCGGTCGATGGCGTTCGCCAAATGATGTATACGCGAATGTTGCATGATGCGAATTTGGCCAGGTTGTGGAAAGTCCCGGATGGGGTTGCGGCGAATAAGTGGAGGCTGTCGAGGAATGTTTTTGAGTGTCGTTCGCCGCCGGCGTATTTTATGATGGGGGATGCTGATACTTGTGTAAGTGAGCTTTTTCGTGGGATGCGGATGGGCCGCCGCAGTGCCAGATCAGAGAATTTACGCCACGTACAAAGCTGACTTGTTCTCCTATAGGTCGGCGTCGAGCAGGGTGATGAAGTTGTTGGCGCTATGCTCGGCTGTGGTCTCGAGGTTGTATACGAGCGAGTACACGGAAAAGACCACCTCTTCGATATTGGGCCGGAGTATGACAATGAACCATTCTACCAGTTCATGCTCAAGCACTTCAAGTAGAAAGACGGCTCCAGCGGGCACATACCTTAGGGGAATGCCCACTGGAATGTACTTAGCTCCTCCGGAAGAGATCGTTTTCCCCATATGACCTCGAAGACTCATGCACGCCATTTCCTGATCTACGTGTAGATGAGCCAATGTCGTAAGTAAGCCTTACCAGCCAAACTTCAACGTCTTCTTCCACTCTCATCAGCAAGCACCGAAGCAATTGTTGCCAAAGCTTGACTCGTCACAGGGGATCAACTCTCTTCCTCGCCACTCTCTATACTAGTCCATCTCATGATGTGAGTGTGAAGAGCCGTGCGTGTAAATATCAACCTCACTCCGAAAATGTACCAGTCTAGATTTATACCAAAAGGGACAAGAGGAGGCTGTACAAGGAACACCACACTTTACGGACTCTACTCCGTCTCTTGATGCGCTGGGATGCGTCCGGACAAGAACTCTAAAAGGGAGTTCCGGGATGTAAGACGCATGCTACCCGGTCAGAATTCTAATGTAGCTGTCATCCATTGCCAGAGATATTGTTCTCTTGCCAAGCGCGTTCTTTTGCACACTGCAAACGGTGGCTCCGTGGCTTGCGGATGTGCTTGATGCCTTGGATCCGTGGAGCAGTAAGCGAACACTAGAAGTCCGGTCGTAGAGCCTGTGGAACGTTAGAGACGAGGAGTGACCTAAGAAATTCCCCAGTAGTAACATATTTTAATTGTTTCGACATGTGGCACCCGCCCTAACGGCCCTCATACCTATCTCGTACAATTCCCACTTTGTCCCGAGCCTGGTGCCTTGATCTAATCCTTGAATTTGCGGTTCTTGTTCTCGCCAAAAAGAGTCGCTCGAACAGCAGGTAATCCGTCGGTCTCGAGCAGTCGCAATCGCTCTTCGAAAGTGTTGTTGATGTCAATCTTGCCGGTGCTGTTAAGGATTATGATACCGCCAGCTCTGCCCAGTACAACGTTAGCCTTTTTCACCAGACACAAGAGGTGCATGCGCCAACTTACGAATCATCTGGCACTCTCTCCTTCTGATCAATAGAGATCTCCACGTCGTGCTTCATACTCTTCTTGTACTCCTCCTTGGCCTTATCGGCAGCCTTCTTCACCACGTCCTCATCCTTCTTTCGACATCTCAATGTGACCTTCTTCTCATTGACCAAAGCGTAAAGGCCTTCCAATATCAGGTCCTTGAGCACCGTCTCGTACTTGGCCTTGTCCTTCGTCGCGGTCTCACCGAGCTTCTTGCTGGCACTCTCGAACAGCTCGTCCAGCAGTTCCTGTCGCGCGCTCAGGATTCTTAGTCGGGTCTTGTTGGCGAGGGTTGACTTTGTGATCTGCTGACTCATGCCGGCCTGGGTGAACTTCTTCTGGTACTCTGCGTCGATGCTGGAGGTCTCGCTGCGCACAAGCTTGGACTTCTCGATGCTGAACTCCTCGTCTGCCTTGAGGTGGATTTCTCTCGCCTTCTCCAGAGCTTCTTGGCGGATAAAGGCGGTCATCTTCCGCAGCTCAGCGTTGACCTGGTCGTCGGACATGGCGTGTATTTGCGACATGTTGGTGTATGGCGTAGGGTGCTGTTGAAGCAGCTTCGAGGGAGGATGAGATCGGGGCAGGCTCACGATGAGCTCGAGGATCTTTGTGATTACAGGTCGCAGCTGAAGCAGGGCAACTGTGAGCGTTCGATGGTATGTCCCGGTCTTTGTAGAGCTCCAATGGTGTCGTTGGAGCAATGTCGGCCGCTTGGATGTACGTTGATGCGTTGATGCTCGACAGCTAGCTTGGCAGGGTGGGCGGTGGCCTGTTGCTCACCAAAAGTCCGATGCGTTCGGCGGAGTCTAGCCCGATGCATCGCAGCGTCATGTGAACTCATGTGCACTCATAGCAACGAACTATCATCACCAGACCGCTCAGCCAAGGGCCACACATTCGCCCCGTCACGCCAGCACCATCGACCACCACTACATTCGTTTGCGAAAACAACAGCAAGACCACCACCACCACCACCACCACCACCGAGCGAAGACCGCTTTCCGACAACTTGCTGCCTGCTGCATTGTCGCAGGCATGGAGCCCCAATGGAACTAGCGACAAGTGGCCCGGGGTACTTGGCAACGCCGATAGAGAGAACCTATGCGCATGGCACAATGGGGGGTGGCGCATTCAACCTGGACCCAGGCGGTGCGGTGGCTTTGGGAGTCATTGTAGGATTGGTGTCAACATGTGTGCAATCAGTAGGCTTGACGTTACAGCGCAAGTCGCACATGCTGGAGGACGAGAAGATCGACGACCTCGACCGAAGACCACCCTATAAAAGGCGAAGATGGCAGATTGGAATGCTGTTGTTCCTGGTTGCGAACATTGTAGGATCTACCATCCAGATAGTGGCTCTGCCTCTGCCGCTGTTGAGCACACTGCAGGCGTCTGGCTTGGTGTTCAACAGTATATTGGCTAGCTTGCTGCTGAAAGAGCCATGGACGTGGAGGACCGCATGTGGCACGATATTGGTCGCCGCAGGAGCTGTTCTGATCAGCTACTTCTCTGCCGTGCCAGAGCCGAGTCACAGCTTGCAGCAGCTCCTCGTGTTGCTAGGCAAGACAAATTTCCTGGTCTGGTTCATACTGTCGCTGCTTTTTGTCCTAGGCGTCATCGTAATGACCTTCTGCCTACGGTACTTCGTCCCCGCGCATAGGAAAGACACACCACGAATCCTCTTGATCAATGGCATGGCCTTTGGATTGATATCCGGCATCCTTTCAGCGCATGCATTACTGCTTGCAAAGAGTGCTGTGGAATTGGTCGTCCGCAGTCTGACGGATCGTAACAACCAGTTTAAGACCTTCGAACCCTGGCTACTTCTGCTGGCTTTCCTGATACTCTCCTTGTCGCAACTATACTATCTGCACCTAGGCCTGAAGTTGATCTCGACAAGCATACTCTACCCTTTCGTGTTCTGCATCTACAATATCGTTGCCATCCTGGACGGACTTATCTACTTCCAGCAATTGGATCGCCTACCGCCACTATCCGCAGGACTGATTGCGCTGGGCACCTTCCTCCTTCTTGATGGAGTGTTGGCACTCAGTCTCCGCCTTCACGATGATGAAGATGAGGATGATCATCCACATCACCTTCAGACCGAGATACCACAAACACTTCTCGCACCTGGTTCCGGATTTGTCGCAGACCCGGACACAGAGTCAAGCGAGTCAGCATCAATCCGCACAGATGACGACATGGAGACCGAGCGCGAGATCAACGAGCACACCAGCCTCATCCGCAAATCTTTGGATCGAAGTCGCACAACAACGAACAAGGTCCCTAATTTCGTTCCAGGCCATATGCATGTGCCCATAGGCAGACGTCGCCACCGAGCAGCCACACTCAAAGACGTCAAGCAAATCTGGGAGGCACTCGAAGATTCCGAAGACCACTACGGGACCTTTGACAGGCCTTCCTCCTCGAACACGTTTGGCCCAGGCAGGCCAGCCAGCGCTGGACAGCAGCGCCAAAGACGACGCAGACGATCCAGTATTGGCAAACCTCTGGAGCCGAGTCAGGAACCCGGGATCAGCCTCGAACCAGACGAGCAGCGGGCATCTTCATCTCGGGCCAGCACAATGCCAGCGAGGAGTTCGCGGAGTCGGCGGAGAAGTAAAGCGGGAAGTGCACTGTTTTCGGACCTGCTTAAGAGTGATTGGTGGCTATTCAAACGGAAAGCTGATGATGATGATGATGATGACAATGATGGCGGAGCATCAGGATCCGCATCGCAATCTCCGGCTCGTGAACGAGAGCGGCGGAATGGAGATGTGGTGTAGGAAGCAGTGTTTTCTGTGTTGTGTTACGATATTTCTCGGTTAAAGATACCCATGATTTTTGAGAAGAGGGAATGAAAGAACGATGAACGATGTCAGGATTCAAATGGATTTGCCCATTCTTCGCTGGAGGAGCTATTGCTTCGACTGCGCGTCATTGTCGTGGCTGTGAGAAAGGCCTTCAGAGTGCCTGCCAAGATGCAAAACTGCGCAATGTCGTCCATGTTCGTCCTCCAACCAGCAAGTGAGTCTACGTCTTTCCCCCTCCGGAGAAATGACCCGCTCAATCTCATCCCTCATCGCATCTATCACCTCATCAGCACTTCCATCCCTCCTCTAGCCTTCTACATGGGATACACACCTTCTTGAACCCAATATCCTCAGCCTTCTCTCGAAAGGCTTGTCGGGACATGTTCAACCCATACTTTCGAATGACCCCGGACTTCTTCTTGTCGCCAGTTACACGGCTGCATCGCGAGAAATTGTTACTATGCGCATGTGCATGTGGTCGAAATCATCACTTACCAGCCACGAGAACCTTTGCCGTAGTTGCGTGGACGGGAGTAGAAGACTGTGTCGTGCGACATGTTTGGGGTGATGTCGTGTCGTGGACTGGTAGTCGTTGTTTGTCACGGGATGTGTAGATTGAGAAGCAAATTCGTTTCGCTGGTTCGTGCGGGCATCAAGGTTGGCCATCACGGTGCTTTGAACAAGGCTGCGCTCTTCGTGAGGCACCAAGGCATCAAGCTTGGCATTGATACTTCTCTGCTGAAGAAGCTTCTATACACCACCGTCAATCTGCCAATATCACATGCATTGGCATTTGACTGGAGCGATATGCAGACCGTACAGTATCACTGCTCCAGCCGCGATGTCCATCTGTGCAAGGAGCATACACGTGATGGACGAGTGAGCCGAGGCTGTACTGCGGCTACCACTACCACTTGGCTTGGAGGAAGGCGAGGGAGGAACCTATCTGCAGCCCGTTAAAAAGAAATGCTGCTTGGATCTGCGTGCTGATTGTGAGTCCCGTAGATCCACTCTCATTTGGTGTATTCCAAGCCTACTACTCGCACATCCCCGAGTTCGCAGACAACCCATTCATATCCGTAGTTGGATCCGTAGCCTCAGGAATCTCCTACATCGCAGCTCCCATCATGATCCCCGTCGCAAAACGCTACGCCACGTATCGAAAACCTATGATCTTGGTCGGATGGCCAATATGTCTTCTCGCCCTCCTAGCAGGTTCTTTCGCCAAAACTCTTGCAAACCCTCATCTTCACCCAAGGAGTAATGTATGGTCTCGGATTCGTCATATTCTACTACCCCATCCTGAGCATGGTGAACGAATGAGAAGAGGCATGGCATACCGTCTCCTCTGCAGCGCATCCGGCGTCTCAGGCGCAGCATTCCCCCCTTCGCGATCGAACACCTCTTGCAGAAATACGGCTACCAAACAACCCCTCCGAGCCACCGCGATCGCCCTCGCAATCCTAACAGGTCCCCTGATCCCATTCCTCAAACCTCGACTTCCTGAATCCTCAGCCTCATCCTCGCCAAGAACGAACTGGACATTCCTCAAATCCTCTACAATAAGGAGCTCTGACCGGAACGTGAGCGATTGCGCGATTTCAGAAAAGTCCGGCTACATCTGGAACTGGTCGATCCGCGACTATTTGATCTGGAGTGTTGGCGTGTTGTCAAGATGGAGGACTTCATCGAGGAGAGCTGGAAGAACGAAACCAGCGCAGAGAGGTCCATCGAGCCACCTCCGCTTGTCATGCAGCATTTTCATGAACCAGATCCGCTCACGACCCTTTCCCCCGAGTCTTGGTACTTGTTCTCCGTGAAAGAGGAAGGAGGGAGAGAAACTTGAAGGTCGTGCAATCTGTCGAGTGCAGCACGAGAACTGCTTGCACGAGCTGACCAACGTAGAAGAAAGCTTCCCACACTGATCGACACTGTCCTTGCCACTCGAGGAAAATTCTCCGAGAGGCTTCATAACTTCCTATTTCGGCTAGCCCATGGATGGAAGCCTTCGTCATCTTCGCAACGCCTTCGCCTTCCAAGACAAACTCCTCACAGCATCCTCCACCGCCCTCATCATCAAATTTCCACCCTTCCATCTGTGCCGTAGCCGTGTATCCATTCTTCCGACTCCTCAAACCTTCCCCCAAAGTAAGCTCAAATCATCGATTTCCCCGCCCTGTCCAATCACAAGCATAGGGCTGAGAAATTTCCATCCTAGCGTTCCTGCAGCCTGCTTGTAGTTCTAATTATCTTTCCTTCGGTTGCGTCCAATAGGAATTCCCATCCTGCGTTTTCAACAGCCCGCATCGGATTTCCAGGAGCTTTCGGCTTGCAACGATTCAGTGCCGTGGTAGGTTGTAGTAGTACAAAGATGAAGAGGCAAAGGATTTTTTTTATGTTTTCTTGTTTCGTTTCGGACCCACTTGTCTGCAGCAGTGTGGGATCGGGGACTTTTTTCAAACGTCGTATCGTTGCTGCCCTGCCCTCCTATCTATCTTTCATCTACATACAGTATAGACTTCTACTAATCGGCCACCGTTCGTTTCTAGATCCGTTTAGCAAAAGACAAGGACCGTGCAACCAGCAGCGGCTCGAGACTTGTGATTATGATAGGAGTTCGACGCATGAGCCTTCGATTTTCTTGCAAGAGGAGTTTTTTTTTTCGTACCAATGACAGACAGCGTTCGGAGAAAAATTTTCCTTTTTTCTTCCTGCGATTTTGTATTCTAAAGCTTGCGAGTGAGTGGCTGCACGCCTTCCGCGGTCGTGACATCGTTCTCTCGCTGGGGTGATTGTGAAACGTACAGGACACGCAATACTCGGATGAGTGGCATTTCTGTGGGTCGAAGGAGGGAGGATGACCTCGGGATCTTCTGGTCATAAAGGTACATAAGTGCTCGCAACACTTTCGATCGATGCATTTTGAGGTTGTTCTCCGTTTCGTGCTTGTCGCTCTTTTTTGGTCATTAGACGCCTCGGTCGATACTTTCGTTTGAAGATTAGATTATCACGGTTGTTTTTGCCTACACAGACAGTCCTTACCTATCGAAGAGCGATTACATTCGTTGAACGACAGCAAGCATGCGTTCGTATGTCGCGGTTCTGGCCGCAGCGGCCGGATTTCTTGGAAATGCGCTGGCAGCACCAACGGGACCTAGCGTAGTAAGGAGATGGGTCCCCGTGATGCCAGGAGGAGTGGATGACATTGTCATCACCAAGGATAACACACTCAACGCCACGAACACGAGCCCAATTTCTCACAAGCAAGACAACGTTTTCAGTGTAGCTGGGAACTCCAGGTTGCCGTTGGCGCTGGTGAACAACATCGGAGGCGCAGTAAACGCATATGTCACAGGATTGGATCCATCGGGGAAAATTGTTTTCCTGCAGTCCAATGGAGCCTTCTACTATCCTCCCTGCGATTCCTCGTTCTCCACACCGAGGGAAGTCACCGCGAACATCGCCATTCCCCTCAACAGTGCAAAAGGCAGCACGACCCGAGTCACTCTGCCAAACTACATCTCCGCCGCCCGAGTCTGGTTCGCCAAGGGAAATCTACATTTCTACTCCGTCTGGAATCCAGCTTTGAATGCTCCTGGCCAGGTCCAGCCCTCGTTCGCCAATCCACAAGATCCCTCGGCAGCGATTGACTGGGGGTTCGTGGAGTTGACAAATAATGCCGGTGGTCTATATGCCAACCTCAGCTATGTAGATTTCGTGGGCCTTGCGCTGGGGATGTCGATGGTCGCTGGTAATGGAGCGACGACGACTGTCAAAGGTCTTCGCGCGGGCGCTGCGGGTACGATTTGCGCTGCTCTCCAGACCCAGCAGAACAAGGACCGTCAGCCATGGGGGAATCTTTGCCAGGCGGGATCTGGTGGTGCGCTTCGTGCTATTGCCCCGAATATCATGGTCAGCTCCAATCGTGCGGCTTTCGCCGGCTACTGGACCAGCTATGTGGACCAAGTATGGAATTTCTATACCACCAACACGCTGAGCATCGATACCCAATCCGGTGCCGGCAAAGTCGCATGCACGGTCAGCGGTGGCTATCTGAACTGCAATGGCGATAATCGGGGATACGCCAAACCAAGCGCCGGTGACATTTTTGGTTGCAACTCAGGCCCTTTTGGAATTCAGGGCTCTGACAACGCCGTGCACAGAGCTGTGGTACCGCGTCTCTGCGCTGCCTTCAGTCGGGGAACGCTCATGCAGAATGGTGGAAACTTGCAGCCAGGACCGCACGCTACCACATATTACACGAACGCGCCTGCACCACACAACGTGTACAGCTCCATTGTGCACCAGAACGAGCCGGATGGGAGGGGATACGCATTTTCTTATGACGACGTAAATCCTACTGGGGGGATCGATCAGAGCGGGACTCTGTCCGATGGAAGCCCACAGCTTTTGACTGTGTATGTCGGCGGTGCGAACTGAGTGTGCAGTCGGATTTTGCACGGTGTGGAGGAAAGGTTGGAGCCAGGTATCAGACCGGCCATACGGGCTGTGTTCAATAGACCTTGCTTCAGGAACAAAATCCTGCAAGATAATGTATAAGACCAAGTTGCCATCCGAAGCTTCAGATTGCGTATTTCACTGCGCCTCCTTCTCGAGCTTTCTTATGTGAACAGAATGATCCATACTCGCATGCACATCTCTGCAAGCGTTGCTCCACGGGCTGATGTCTGGTGTAGGGCTCTCCAGGTCAGATCTTGTCCAAGGAAAGCCTTCGAAATATCGCGCTCATGCTCTTCTGCAGCTTTCAGTCGATCTTCACTCCCTAGATTTTCCAGCTTCGCGGCCTGGACTTATCCTCAAGCTCTCGCGATTGCAGGAGTCAATGTGGTCCGTCAGGACATGGCTCTCGCGTAAATTTCTGCTCCCCGATTTGTCAACTAGTTCTGATTCCTCTAGAAAGACGGCTGGAATTTCTAGCTGTTCATTTTCGATCCATGCGCATCGGAGTACTACTGGGTCCCCTTAACTCAAGGTCAGCCCGGAATATTCTCGCGGACAATTCCTTCCGACACGTTCTCCTTGCGAGGCCACTTCATTTACACTGCTGCCATGTACATGTTATTGCCTCAAAGGTTCCTCGTGCATCGATAGCACCGCTGCATGCGACATTCCCTGCAGCGCATGATGAACCGAGGTACCTGCTCGTTGCAGCCGTCGCAGTGGAATCCACCATCGACGCGGCCCCAGTTATGTAAACCTTCGCAATCGTGATGCTCGCGCACATGCTCAGCCATTGCCCTGACATTGCCACCCCCCTCACGTTGCACGATCTCTTCGGCGCGCTCCAGAATGCGGTGCTCGTCGAACTGGTCGCAGTTGCATGAGCGCTTCTGCTGGCCCGGTCGCAATGGATCAGGAATCATCCATGGGCTAGAGCCACAGATGTAACAGAATTCCGTCTTGCAGAGGCATCTGAACCACGAAGGTTAGTAGAGTAAAGGCCAGCAGAAGATTTCTTCTGAACTTACGTCATGTGGTTGCAGCCGGTTCTGAGCTCTACCATGCGGCGACAAGAGGGACACCGACGCCAGCTTTCCCTTGCAGCGAGCTCCTCGACAAGCTTAGTGGCCTCATTTTCTGGACAATCTCCATCATGCGCCGTACCCTTGCAATCGAGACAGGTGCTGGCAGGGCAAGTCGGGCAGCGACCAACGTCGTTTGCGCGTGCGTCTTGCGGAATGTAGGCCGAACAAGTCTGGACGTGACAGTAGATGCGCTTTGGATCATCAAGCTCTGGTTTCTTCGCGGCGAAATTTTGAGCTGTGCGCTCGCTGAGGAAGTCGCGAACATCTTCGTACGGAATGTCTTGCTGGCAGCATCGGGGAGGGTAGAATCGCTCATCGATGAGAGCTTGATTGAAGACTTGATCGAGGCAGCCGTCGCAATAGTCATGTTCGCAGTGGGCCTTGTATGCGTCGCTGTCTGGGACGTCGCTAGTACAGCTGACACACTGGATGTAGGCGACAGGAGGGCTTTGGTCGGCGGTTGGAGGACCAGCAGCTGCAGCGTCTTGCATGTCTGCATCATAATCATCATTCTCGTCGATCTGAAAGCCTCGAGTCGCGGCATAGTCGCGAGCTTCCTGCCGAGCAAGATGCCATGCATATTCCTGATCAGCACCCAGTGTTGCGTTGGCGGCGACGGTCTTCAAATCCTTCAATTGCAAGGTAATGACAGTTTTAGCGGTCTCGTCGTCGAGGTCGTCGAGCGCAGTGGTGGACGCCATGGGTGCGCAGAAAGTTGTTTTGATGAGCTTCTGGGACGAAGATGAAGTCTGCAACGCCTGTATTTTGAGCCGCGTCGGAAAATCTCCAACGCGCATGCAGAACGCCCGGCGTGAAGTGAAGTGAAGCGCGCTACTTCCCACGCGTCATTGCCTCATTTTTGACAACGTGATGGCGAAGTCCAAACGCTTATTTGAGCGTCTCAGCTTCTGAACATCATCAACCCAGCCTCTTCCATGTTGACATCATCCTCTTCTCCCTGCTCTGTGCCGTCGTCCCTCTCATCGAGTCCCAGCTTCTGCCCGAACAAACTCCCAAACAGCTCATCACGCTGTCTCTCGCCCCAAGTCGACCGGTCTTCGGGTGCCATGAAGTTTTGCAGCTTTTCGTGCACAGTATACCTCAGCTTTCTCCCTTTGCTAGCTTTCGTATCTACATTCCTCTTCGTCTTGTTCTCCCTTCGCATCTGAAACCCGACATCGATATTGCTGACGGCTACCGAGTCTGCAGATTTTTGCTCAAGCAGCTCTTTGAGAAGCACGCCATAGAAGTCTGCATCGTCATAGATCTTCTCGTCTTCGGTCACTCGTTGTGCAGCTTGTACTGGCGCGCAGGAGCGAGGAGCTTGAGTTCGTTTGACTAGGCGATCCATTTTTGAAAGCTGTTCCTCAAGCACGTCGATAATGCTGGACTGCACAGTCTCTTTCAAACGGCCACCGGTCTGGGAGCGCACAATAGGATCTTGAGTCTTTTGATGCCATTTCTTGATTGCTGCGTCGCGTTCCGGCTTTGCTCCTTCTTCCAGCGACAAAGTGTGTGACCATAAGTCCTGCACAGGAGTATCGATAGTGAATGATATCTGCTTCCGCTTTCCATTCGTCTTGTCAGCGAGCAGCTCCTCCCGTAGCCCATTCACAGAGCTCCATAATCGGTAGGCCGCTGTCTCGGCCGCTTCAAGCGCCTGCTTAGCATCTGCCTTTTCTGCCTCAATTTTCTCAGGTGGAGTGCCGACTAAGGTGTTGGTAGCGACCAGCGACTTCTGCAGCTTCATGCGTGTGTTGAGCAGCGAGTCGAATCCTGTGCGCTGCTTCTTCACCGCCCTCCCCTTCTCCACATCAATCTTCGTGGCTTGTGACATCGATGCCGCCACTGACTTTTGCTGACTTGCGCTTTTCGCTGCCGCAAGCTCTCTCATCATGCTGTCGTCCACCTGCCGCAGTCTGGGCGCTGCATCTTCATCGCTGAATCCTGAGCCATCCATGTCCTCATCGTCGTCGCGCTCCTGACGCTTCACCGTAGCAAGCTCTTTGCGCAATTTGCTGCCCTTTTGTGTCACGGCGACATCTTCTTCGCTCGGCTCCGTGCCTTTCGTGTCGTCTGCCAGATCGTCGCTATCGTCGCCTCCCTCTCCATCTTGATCGCTATACTCTTCACCGTCAAGCTCGATACCGTCCCCTGCATCGCTCTCCTCATCATCAAATCCTCTACTGAACGGGTCGTCCTCATCATCCTCATCCAGCTGATCGCGGTCCACCTTGGAGCCTCGATATTGCGGCCCAAGTGTGGCAGTTTTGGGCTTTCGCAATTTGCTCTTCCCTACATCGACATAGTGTTCACGACCATCGAATTCGTCTTCGTCCTCCGCGCCAGAGTCTGCATCGCTTTCGTCGCCGGGAACGTCTTCTACTTCCGGGTCAAAATCTGTGAAAATTGATTAGATGGATCTTCAGGATGTCCGAGGATTTCTTACCTTGCGCACCAGTCTGCGCCAGGTCCTCGAAGTCTTTGGCGCGATTGCGCCCCTTGCCTATGGCCATGGCGACAGCAATAGTGTTCTAATTTCTAATCCAGTTCTCGCGAAGGAACTTTTTGGGAAGAAGTCGAGATGACGGAACGCTTGCCGCGATTAGGGTTAGAATACACCCTAGCGAACCCTAATGTTCTGTACAGTATATGAGCTTGATCAATCTTCGCCTAAAGATCCTCTGCCAAGTGGCTATCGAAGACACTGCGAGCAACTAGGCCTCCATCTGAACACGATCACATCGCGTAAAGTTCTAGTATCAGAATTGCAGATCGCTACATCTGGTTGAGGATGTCTTCGAAATTGCCTAACTATTCGCTTCGTGCGGACCTATGAGCTATCTTACATGTGACTATCTAGAATCTTCATTCCCTGTTCCATATTCCTTGTTGCAATCTCAACTTGGCGATCCCAATTCGCTTCTGGCTTACTTTGATGGGACACCGCTGTCAGTAGGTTCAGCTGATTCAGAAACAGTCGCCGAAGCAGAAGGAGGCGTAGCCGCAGTCTCAGCCGGAACATCCTCCGACTCCGACGAAGGCATGGGCGACACCAAGAACGGGAAATTAAGCGGCGCAGTAGAAGTCTCGCTCTGGTCCGCAGGCGCCTCGCCGAAAGTAGTCGTGCTCGCCGCATACTCGCTAGTAGTTGCTGGATCGTATGAGTACGTAGCACCAGTAGGCTCTTCGCTGCCATAGACCGTAGTTGTAGCTCCTGCCATAATCAGCGTTGTTGTTTGTGTGACTGTTGGCGGGAGACCTGATGCAGTACCTGTGGTTTCAGCTTCCGTTCCTGGGGTTGGGGTGAACAGTGCTGCGTCGCCGCTGGTCGGCGTGGCTTGGAATTCGTCACTGCTCATCATTGGTGCTGCTTCCGTACTGCTTGAAGCCACTTCATCGGTGCTGCTCATTGGCATGGACTCGGGTGATGACATTGAGGTATTGCTGTACACGGGAGTTGCAGTGGCTCCCACTTGGAAAGTGGTTGCAGCATCGCTAATGGTGGCGGGTTCTGTTGCCTCTTCAGTCATGGCTGGAAGTGTGCTGTATTCTGTCGTGACCACTGTCGTGGGCTCCACGGTAGAGACAACTGTGCTTGCAGGCTCAGTTGTGACCATGGTGCTGGCCTCCTCAGTCGAAATGATTGTACTGGCCGGCTCAGTGGAAACAACAAAAGTGCTCGCTTCCTGAGTTGAGACTACGGTCGTGGGCTGCGTCGAGACTTCAGTTGTGGTCACAGTCCACCCTAGCGACATGGTCGTGTAAGTAACCGTGCTGGCAGGCTGAGTTGAGACGACAGTGGTTGGTTGGGTCGAGACTTCGGTCGTCCGCTCAGTCGTCGTAACATTCCATCCGGGAGAAAAGGTTGTGTAGGTGACAGAGGCGGTCGAAGCATCCTGTGTGCTAACAATTGTCGTCTGCTCAGTCGCTGTCACGCTGACAGTGCTTGCTGGCAGTGCCGAGGGTGTGTCGGTCGTCGTATAGATGACTGTCGTTTCAGCCGTTGTTGTTGGGCCGTATAGGGATGTAGTTTCAATCATAGTGGAAGTCGCAGTCTCGGTGCCTTCAGCGGGATAGCTGACACAGAACTGAGCAGGACCATCACCAGCTTGGTCGCAGTAAATGGGCCGTTTGACAAAGGCTTCATGGCCATCTTCTGGCAGTGGTTTTGCCAGAGCTGGCCTGGATATGGAGATGCCAAGGATTGCCACAGCGAGAGCTATCATGGTTGCAAGTGCTTTTGCTCGCGGAGATCAATTCAGTTCTTGTTTTGACTGGCGATCGATATTAATATAGTGTGCAGCATTGCCGCGTGGAAGCAATGCTGTGTCCATTCCATGCCGATTCATTGGGCTCGGCGGAAGCAGGAATGCGGCCAGCGTTGCTTTGAGTACACGCGCTCCTCCGTGCCGCGCCGATTTGTTGGGTTTGAAAGATATGCTCATTGGTAGGCGCGCATTTCCTGAATCAGTGGTCGAATTACATCGTGACATTACATGACAAGACGGCTGTAGTAGAGCCAAGAATAGTCAGACCCCATACATGTCAACCAGCTGGATCTGAGCAGCTCATCTGCTATTGCGGAGATGAAGGCTTTGTCCCACTGGGTTTCACCTGTCTTCTGCGTCTCGGACTGCTTGATCTGTAAAACTTCTGCTCGACCGCACCAATAGGCCTATTGAGCTTGTTTGCAATGTCAGCCCAGCTCAGACCTTCTTCGTACAAAGCTTCGAGCCTTGAAACCTCATCTGTCGTCCATTTCCTAGGGTCACTTTGCTTCGTCCAGTCCGGAGGATTAGCCTTCAAGCTTACAAGCTTGCGATGGACACTGTCCGGCGATTTTCCAAGCTTTTTGGAAATCTCGACATTTGAGAGGCCTTGTGCGGATAGGTCTCGAAGCTGTTCCGTCTTCTCGTCGTCCCACAACGTGTGATACGCATGTAGGTGACGAAGCCTTTGGGAGGGCGAAACCAGTCTGTGGTAGCGACATTTAATGGACTGTAAGCCTCTCCCAGACAGTCGTTGTGCCAGGTCCTTCCAGTTCCTTACCCCTTTGCGGATGGACTCCAGAATCAATTCGTCCTCCTCAGCGGTGTATGAAGTCCCTCTGCCTCTGCCTCCACATTCGGGTGAAGATAGCCGGCGAGAGCGAACGAGGAGGGACCGCGGCGATCTGCCAGGGAACTGTTCTCGCATTGCTGCCCATGATAGGCCTTGTAATGTAGCAGCCCGCAGCCTGGCATCTTCTTCAGGGGTGAAGTACTTTACAGCGCTCCAATTCGCTATCAAACCAGCACGACCTAGCCTTGAACGCTCGTTTGTCACGCTGCTTACAGGACGGTGCAGGATTGTCGCGATGTCGTGAGCGGATTTGCCAGAATTGCTTTCATCCGCGAGAAGCCGTCTCTCACGCTCCGTCCATGGCGCGCCTCGACATCGACTGATGGAGGAGGCAAAACATTGCTTCTGGTCGCCAAGACGTGGACGTGGACGATGTGCGGTCGAAATGCTCTGTACAGGAGGTGTTGATCTGCGTGGCCAGAAACACCGCAGCCGTAGCATGACGACTCGTGCAGCATGCGATGTCTTTCAGCGTGTGTTTGGACCAGGACGCGTTTTTGGTAGATGACGGAGCTCCATATATGCCAGATTGTCAATGAAGAATTCACAGCGCAATCTTTGCCCCTACAAGTTCTTTTTAAAATATCTTTTTATCTAGAGGAGTTATAGCTTCATAATATAAGACAAAGATACTCTAATTTATATGTATTTTTGGAAAATAATAAAATTTCTAGTAGTTATCTCCTAAACTAATAAGCTATATAGCTTAAACTTCTAAGTAAGAAATTTTAGAATTTTAGCGTTTTCTTAAGTCTTAATATACTATTTTTAGTAATACAAAACCTAGGCCTTATGGTTTTACTTAATGAAAATCTATTTTGAGATCTTTCTCGTAATATAGCTACTATTAGTTATATAATCTAGAATTTAAAACTTAAATTCTTATTAGATTCCCTTTTGTATATCTTTTTCTTTAGAGGAGTTATAGCTTAGTAATATAAGACAAAAATACTCTGTTTTTAATCTAGTATTAGAAAATTACTAAAATTATTATAGCTAGCTACTAATATTAGCCTAAAATTTTAGAATAAAGATTTTAAGACTTTTGCGTTTTTTAAGCCTTAGTATACTATTTTTAGTAATCTAAAACCTAAACCTTATAGTTTCACCTACTAGGAATCTATATTAGGGCTTTTACTTTAACTAAGCTATAAATAGTCTTACAACTTGAAAAAGAATATTCTTAAGAATTATAAACTTTAAATTTCTAAGCCTACAATTCTTAAGAATATTCGCTTTAGGATTTTAAGACTAATAGTAAGCGTATTAAGATAAGAATCTCAACTAATATTTATACTAGACGAAACTTTTAGGTCTAGGTTTTAGATTACTAAGAATAGTATACTAAGGCCTAATAAATACTAAAATCTTAAAATCTTTATTTAAGAGTTTTAGGCTAATCTTAGTAGATAGCTATAGTAGTTTTAGTTATTTTCTAAAAATATATAAAAGTAAAAGTATATTTGTCTTATATTACTAAGCTATAACTCTTCTAAATAAAAAGATAAACTAAAGAGAATATAGTAAGAAAATAATATTCCTTTCTAAATTGTATTACTAATAGTTTCTATCCTAATATATAAATTGAAATTTAGATTTTTATAAGATAAAACTATAAGATCTAGATTTTAGATTACTAAAAATAGTATGCTAAGGCCTAAAAAATGCTAAAATTGTTAAACTTCTAAATTAGAATTCTAGGCTATATATCCTATAAGAATCTAAAAAATGGCAGCGAACAATCAGAGACGAAGGGAAGACAGTTAAGAAGGAAGGGAGGACGAATAGAAAGCACTATATACTAGGGTAGAGGAGGTGCTAAAGGCGGAAGATAGAAGAACCCCTAAGAGGGCATATAGGATAATAATCTTAGAACTCCTTAGAGGACTGAAAGCAATCTATAGCTAGGCAAGCTACGTAATTACAAAGGTAGCTAATATAGTCGTAGTAAAGATTACGAAGAAACAACAGGAGACAAGCCTAAACTACCGTACCTAGGTAGTAGTAGCTAGTTAGGAGGCGCTAAAACCCCCGAGGACAGTAGTTAGAGTCTATATTACGGACCTATAGGAGCAAAAGGAAATCTAAGGACTTATAGGGAAAGAGATTGTAGAAAGAATTACAGTTAAAGAAGTAATTAGGGCTAGGAACGAAGGTAAAGGGGTAATCAAGCTATTTATAGTATAAGAGTAGGACAAAAAGAAGCTAGAAATACAAAAAGAATAGACAACTAAGATAGGGAAAACAGTAAAGGTCTCCTAATAGCAATTTATAATTATAGCCTATAGCATAATAAGAAGCTTTAAGGAAGAATAGGATATTAAGAGCCTATAGAGACAAAACTAAGCTATATACCTAGGCCTAAAGATTACAAAAGTAGCATAGATTAAAAGGAAAATTAAAGAGACTAAGAAGCAGTCTTCCCTAATTATCTAGGTAGGGAGTGCAGAGCAAGCTAATATAGTGCTAGACTAGGGGTTGTTCTAGGACTTTGAAAGATTAGAAATAGAGATATATAGAAGCAACTATAGGATAATGCAGTACTTCAAATATCAATACTATAGATACTTAGCAGCTAAGTGCACAAAGACAACTAATACCTGCTCCTATTATATAGAGGATTACTAGGTTAAAGAATATAAAGCATATAAGGGAGAGGCAAGATATATATACTATACTAAAAGACACCTCTCTTAGGCGAAGGAATGCCTAGTAAGAATATAGGCAGCTAGAAAGGCAAAGGAAGCTAGAATCAATATACTAAAAAGATATATAATAAGCTAGGGCAGCTAGGTATAGAAGCAACCTAGCTAAGTGCTATAAAAGAGGTCTAGACAAGATAATAGGTTCACATTCAGGGCCTTACTAGCATAAGAGAGTCACTAGCAACTAGGGAGACTAAGATACCTTAACATTATAGGAAAGGAAGCAGGGCAGACAAAGCTTAGTTAAATGTTAGTCTAAAGTAAGGGAAGACTAAAGGAAAACTTATAGGAAAATAATATAGATAAAACCTAATAAACATTGCAACATTACTAAACATTATATAGTATAATATCAATAAGAGCAAAGACAAGGTACAGAGGAGCTTCCTTTAAGCACTAAACCTAAAAGAACATTACATTATTGCAATCTAAGAGCCCTAGCTCAACCTATATATAAAGAGACTAGTAACAGTTAAAGACCCAAGATACTACCTAATTATCTATAACTAGGGAGCCCTAAGGATATACATCTATATTAGTAAGGAGATAGATATAGAAACCTAGCAGGCTATACTATAGGAGGATAGGGACCTAATATTAGTTCAAGTAGAGACATCCTAAGGTACACTCTAAGTCTACTATATATATAACCCACTACTAGACTCAAGAAGTAGTACCTAACTAAAAACCCTAGAAAGACTACCTAGAGTTATCTAGGGGAATACCTACTAAATCCTACTTAGGGATTTTAACCTCTACTACCCCCTCTAGGGCTTAGACTTTACCCTAGCTTACTACTTCCTAGTAGGAAGACTAATTAACATATTAGAGAGGGAAGGAATAGAAATTGTTACCCTAAAGGGACTAATTACTTAGGAGGCAAGAGGAAGCAATAGTATACTAGACCTATACTTTGTATTATATTAGATTAGGAACAGGATTATAAGATATAGGGTTAACTAGGAGCTAGAAGAATTATTAGACTACTTCCCGGTATAGATTAAGCTAAATGTCTAAGCCAATTAGGAAAGGGAACTAGAGGAGAAGCTTAACTAGAAAGGTACCTAATAGGACAGGATTAGGGAGGAACTAGAAAGGGACCTAAAACTAGAGGAACTCTTAATAAAGCACCTCCTAAGGCTAGAGGACATTAATAAGGCAGTAGAAGAACTAATAGGAATCCTAAAACAGGTAGCTAGAAAGCATACCCCGGTAAAGAAACATTTACTATACTAGCAACTATACTAGACTAGTAAGTATATAAGGAAGGTTAAAGTAGCAAGGAAGGCTAGGAGGCAGTAGATATAAACCTATATCTAGGAAGCATAGGACAACTATAATAAAGCCTGCTAGGAAAAGAAGATCTAGATTAAGAAGGATAAGAGGCAAGAATAGAGATCTATAATAGGAATAATTACAAAGAAACTAGAGGAGATGTAGAGGATAGCTAAATAGGCAAGGAGACCTAAATAGGACAAAGATATACTACTACAATTCCCGGATATTATAGACTAACAAGGACAAATGCAGACTACAATAGAAGGGAAAGCAAGAGCCCTAGGCTAACACTTCTTCTATAGAAAAGTACAAGCAGACCTATTAGACATAAAGGAGAAAGAATAAGAGACTCTACTACTAGGTATACTAAGAGACACCTAGGTTAAACCCGAAACTATTAAAAGGATCCTAAAGAAAATTCTAGGCAATAAGGCACTAGGAGAAGATAAGATCTATAACAAACTTCTAAAAGTATATAGGAAGGGGCTAGCCCTAGCACTAGCTAATATCTTTTCACAAAGCCTAGTACTAAGACACTACCTAAGACTATTTAGGAAGTCCCTAATAGTAGTGCTAAGGAAGCCCTAGAAGGAAGACTATACGTAGCTTAAGGCCTATAGACTAATAGCCCTACTTAATATAATAGGCAAGGTACTAGAAAAAATTGTCGCTAAAAGGCTAACAACCTTTGCCGAGGAAAGGAATATCCTTCTTAAAGGCTAGATAGGAGGAAGAAAGAAGAGGTTAATACTAACAGCTATAGAACTAATTACAGAACAGATCAAGTATATCTAGCACTATAGTTAAAACTAGGTAGTAACCCTCCTCTCCCTTAACATCTTAGGAGCCTTTAACAATATCTCCTATAAAAGGCTCCTATATATACTTAAATAGAAGGCTATACTAAACTAGATAGTCTAATTTATCTAGTCCTTCCTATAGGAAAGGTTAATACAGCTTATTCTAGGCAAATTTAAATTAGACCTAATACTAACTAAAAAGGGAATCCCCTAAGGATTAACACTCTCCCTAATCCTCTTCCTTATCTTTATAGCAGACCTACTCCTACTCCTAGAATTAAGAAATATATTAGCATTAGGGTTTATAGATGACACAAATATCCTAGCCTAGTCTAAGATAATAGAAACTAACTGTAAGATCCTAGAAGAGAAGCACTAGGAGTATAAAAAATAGGTAAAGAGATATAGAGCAAAATTCGCCCTAGAAAAATACTAGCTTATCTACTTTAGCAAGGCTAAATCAACTTATAATATAAAGCAATTAATTACTATCTAAGGCTTTAAAACCCAACTATTAGTAGAGCTTAGGGTACTAGGGATCTAGCTAGACCTAAAACTAAATTAGGGACTATAAGTAAAGAAGGCAAAGCAGAGGGCAGATGCTAATATATAATCTATCAATAGGCTTATAGCCTCTATATAGGGGGCTACATTCGAGAAAGCCAAAGTTATATATAAAGCAATTGTTAAGCTAGCAATACTATATAGAGCACAGATATAGACAGCCTAGGAGAAAACACTAAAGAGGATCGAGTAACTAGTTAGCAGGTCCTAAACCTAAGGCCTAAAGAAAATCCTAGGAGCATATAAAACTATACCTATAAAGGTAGTAGAAATGGAATTAGGGATCCTACTAGTTAAACAATACTTTAAGGGACTAAGACACTAATATATAGCAAAGACAATAGAATACCTAGCCTAACAGACTATCTAAAAGGCACTAGATAAGATAAAAGCCTAGTATATTAGGACTAGGAGGCGAGACAGACTATAAATAACTCCCTAGAAAGTTAAAGACCTAGAGCACTATAGAGTCTTAATAAGAGAAATACTAGAGAAAGAGCTTTAGGGACTAAATATAAGGCTAAAGGAAGACAAACTAAAGAGAGAGAAACAAAGCCTAGCAGAATTAATAGCTAGACACCTATAGGAGTAGGAATAGAACAAAACACAAGTTAGACTAGGAACCCTAAAGGCACTAATCAAATTTGGTTAATATAACTACTAGCTCTATAAGGACCTAAATAGGGCCGAGGCAAGCCTAGCTATCTAAATCAGATCTAAATATATTGGATTCAGATCTTACCTATTTAGAAGAAACGTCCTAGGAATTGAAAGTAGGGCTTACTAATATAGCTACTAATCTCAGAACCCTAAGTATATACTACTAGTCTGCCCTTAATAGTTAGAAGGTAGAAGTAATTAGAGACTAAAAGCAATAGAAAGGGAATACGATAAGCTAATCTAGAGCAAAGAAGACCTAAAGAGGATAGTAAAGTAGATTATTAAATAGGGATTTATACAACAATTCGTACTAGTAAGGGAAACTAAGGAGTAGATAAGAAGGAGGGAAGAAGAGGGGGAAAGAAGGGCAGGGTAGTAGGCAAGGTAGTTAGAGGGTAACAACTATAATACTAGTATACCCTAAAGGAAGGAAAACAAGGAAACGAGGAAGATTAATACTTATAAATAGGACAGGAGGGAGGTTTTTACTAACTAAGTTGGTTTCCTACCTAAAACAATACATAGAAACAGACCTACATAGGCCGAAAGGCACTACAATAGGCAAATGAAATATCTATCTATCTATATATCCTATAAATTTAGTAGGTAACGACTATAAATTTTATTATTTTCTAAAAATAGATACAAATTAGAGTATCTTTGCCCTACATTATTAACCTATAAATCCTCTATATAAAAAGATATAATAAAAAGAACTTGAAGGGGCAAAGATTGCGTTGTTGTCGCTGCGCTCAGAAGTGCTGTATTGACAATCTGGTACGTATGGGCCTCCCTAGTAGATCCTGATCACGTGAGAACTACCACAACTCATTCATTCTGGCCATATTCACATGTGACATGTCTCGAATCTGGTGGTAGCCAGCAAACCGCGCTTTCACAACCAGCGACAAATGCAACCATGTCTCCGCCCACGACCGCGACCACGCCCATAAACCTCGTGATCCGCTTCTCCACCTCGAACCCAGACCTAGTGCTGTCCATCTCGTCACCCTCTACGACTTCTGCTCTCGCTCTAAAGCAAGACATCCGTTCGCATCTACCCTCTCCCACCAATGAATCTAAGCTCCGCCTGATACATTCTGGACGCGTACTGCCGGATAATGCTGCTCTAAGCAAAAGTCTCAACCTTACAACTCCTCCTCCGCCCTCCGCTCTCAGCGCCAAAGCGACAGGAAAGCTTCCCGTAAAAGAGCTAGGACCTAGAGTGTACATCCATTGCTCAATTGGCGATGCATTAAGCGCAGATGATCTGGCAAAGGAGAAGAGGGAAGCAGAGCAGGCGGATGCTGCATTGAGATCTGAAAGGACATCTAAAGCTGTAGATACAGAGCCAAAGCAGGATGATGCGTTGACAACCACGACTCCCGCCCCTCGTGGGTTTGACCGCCTTCTCACAGCCGGCTTCACATCCTCAGAAGTGGCTGCTTTACGAGCACAATTTCTGGCGATACAATCTCATACACATACACCCGATACCATGCCGACTGGTCAACAGCTCCTTGCCTTAGAAGAGCGCTGGTTGGACTCCGGATCAAATACCGCCGAAGACGGCACGAACGATGCTGGAGGATTTGGAGCAGAGGACTCTGGTGGGCTGGAAGATATGCTGTATGGAAATCTGATCGGCTTCTTTTGGCCGATCGGTGCGATGTGCTGGTTGATGAGAGAAGAAGGCGTTTGGAGCCGCCGAAGGCAAATTGCTGTTCTGTCTGGATTCATGGTCAACTTGCTATTCGGTGGTTTGAAGTGGATCAATTGAGCTTACCCGATGTGTCCCTCCTGACGATCTGGCAGCAACAAACGGCTGGTCAGTGCTACGGCCGTCCATTGGAGTTTCACGGCGAGACTTCTGATGCTTGCGCGGGAATTCACAGCCTGGCACGCTCAGTCGCAGACCGCGAAGGTACATTTCGACCCACACCAAATATCGGATACCCGGAGGCCGACCGTTTCCCATTCCTCAGCACCGCTCACGTCGCCAAGGCCAAGCTGACCGTTGCTGTTGTCTCCGTTCACCAAGAGCTCCCCACCAGCCACGACTGCGACATGATTGATGCCAAGCCCCACCTCTCGCGCTCGCAGCGGCTCTCCATCTGGACCATTCTTCCCTTCCCAATTTCTCTGAAGCTGGTCACATCGTCGATGGTGCCGCCTGGAGGAGGGTCTGGTTGCAGTTGGCCGAAAGCATTAAAACCCGTTGCGTGTATTGCGCCGCTCCTCACGCCGCCCACGTCTCTTGGTGGCAGCGGGATTCCCATGCAATTGTCTTGGCTGCAACGACCGCCGACGTAAACTCTTCGGCCGGAGCGTGTGGCAAAGAAATTTAGAAGAGCTTGGTGCGTTCAAAATGTCAGGACAACTTCGCGATGTTTGCGCGAGCGCATGTTCCCCGCAGATGTCTTGGCACACTCTTCCAGCCTCAGGAAATAGGGAACAAGTCTTGATGATTGACACGAAGCCATAGGTATTCCGAAGGCGACGATCTTAAAAAAGCAGGCCATGCACCTCCTAATCAATGCTGCCAGATGCCAGGTAGCAGAATCACGGCCATCTACATGTGTGTAGCAGCTATTGTGTTCATCTCGAAAGGTCACAAGCAATGATGTTGGACGATGCAAGATGGTGGCACTCCAATTCGATTCTTGAAGCATCGCTGCCCGTGTGGTCAACGGCTTCAGCTACCTTGTAAGCGAAGGCTGCACGCCCGCGAACGTGGTGCAATTATGTCGCCGTGAACCCAGCGATTGACACTCGAGACTGTGTATCTTGCGCTCGAGAATGCCGGCATCCCCTTCGATCGAATCTCTGGCACTAAGATATGTGTGTTCCAGGCTCCTTCTCTTCTGATTATGCCAAAATGCTGTACATGTGGACACCGCGTGCTCAAGTAGTCTCATTGCCCTTGAGTTAGGGTACCAATGCATTTTGAGCGGTGACTCGGAGATGGTACGTAGGTAGTCGCAGGCGTGATTTCCCCCAGTCCTGCACTTGACTGACGTGGAAGCAACGTCCTCATCACACTCGAATCAGATATGGAACTTGATCATCCGGGCATGCTAAGCAAGGACGGTCGATGCTTCGGCTTCGGCTTCAACTATCGTGCGAACGGCCATGGGCGGAAAAGGCTTCGGGATCGTAATCATGGTCAAGCCGCTCGTATCTGGCAGCTCGGACTAACGTTACCGGGGATACCATTCATGATTCGGTCATCTTGTTTCAACCAGGATGGCAGGACTCCATGTCTGTATACATGCCCGGCAAAGATGCCCACAACAACCGCTGATCGAAGAAGATTGTGCAAAGGCGAATCTGGACATATTTCGCAAAAACAATATTTCGAAGTGCATGGCACAGGTGTGAGTGAATCAAGCGAAGAAGCCGCTGATGGAATGGTTCTGGAAAGCGGCAAGTCCCGTGTACTAGAATAAACGTAGAATATTGAGAACCCCTAGTGGGCGATCCCATCGAAGCCGGTGTCATAGCCTCATAGCCTCATAACTGCCACCGCTCGAGCTGATTATCTTCGTGTCTGTATCCCTCAAGACGGCGTACTATGGCCTGCATCGGGTCTCAGGAGAGCTTCAATAGCCTCATTTGGCTTTGGTGGCGCCAATGGCCATGTCATGCCAGATGACGCTTACGAGTTTCTACGCCTTCGCAGCCTGCGTGGCACTCATAATACTGCGCCTCGACCACCGCTGCAGGCCAGAGACCGCACTGTGCTTCAATGTCTCTCAAAGATTATGCATGTGAATGGGATCTTCTCGGTGCACAAGCTTGAGCCAAGTCATTCATAGAAATGATGGCTAATGATTTTCTAGGTGAATTGCCCAAGAACAGATCGGACACGAGAATCAATGATGCTCTTTAGTTCTACAGCCAACCGGTCTGCACGCCTTTACAGATTGCACTTGTTGAGCTTCTCTCTGGCTGCGGAATCGAAGCCTCTGCTGTGGTCGGACAGTCATCTGGAGAAACTGCTGCGGCGAAAGGACTTCCTCATCCTGCATAACCCAAATTCTCATTGTTGATAGGTACTGCACTGGCGCTCTTCCGCATCGTTCGGCCGTGAACGTGGCGTATTTTCGAGGAGTGGTAGCTGAGAACCTCTCCAAGTCCAGCAACATGAAGGGCGCCATGATGACCGTGGGCTCTCATCCAGCGATATTGCTCCCTGCACTGTACCTGGACCTCATGTATGTCCCTGGAGCTGAGTCCGGATCCCAGCGGCTTGAGATCGCATGCGTCACCACACCAATGTGACAGCAGGGTTCTTCCCGCGCTTACTGACAAGTTATTCTCAGTGCATACTACAAGGATCTTTTACCGTGCAGCCCGCGGAGACCGCGTGCGACATCATGAAATAATAAACGTTCCACCGTCACCCGGGACCATCCAAATCGTCTCGAACGCCGACAATGACAGCAACCAGCACGAAAGCTAGTATAACGACGACGAGAATTGCAAACATGCCCGACGAAAATTACTCGAAACCACTCCCTGCTCTACCTCTCAACCTTTCACAACACAGATTATATCTCACAGTGGCCTGGACGACGATCATTGTCGTCAACGGCATCCTGCCCATTGTAATCTACTTTGCTCTGCACTATGGTAAGTACCAGCAGCTTCAAACACGAAGCCCATAATACGATCTCACACATCTTGCAGGCACATCTCTCGACCTCTCTTTAGTCCTCACCATACCCACAATCTTTATGGGCTTGACCTCAATATGGCAGCTGTATCAAAGAACGTACTACCTCCTCACCAATCGAAAATCCTGCCGACCTCTCGGGATGACTTCGCCACCAAATAAATGGTACAAGAACTGGTCGAACTTCGACTACTTCCAATGGAACTATCTCTTCGGCTTCACAGCCCTCACCATCCTCATTTCAGTTGGCACCTCGATCCCCTCCCTTCCACCCACCTCCGTTTCTCTCTCCGCCCTAATGCTCTACGTCTGCCTCGAACTCATCCTCGTCGAGATCTGCATCGCGTTGAAAATCCCCGCCCCATTTCGATTCTCGTCGATCCCGAAAGGCGCACCCCTGAGACCAGGAGTCTTCATCGTCGCCGAAGATGTTGTGGCTGTTGATGGAAAGCAGGGAGGGGCTTGGAGACAAGCGTGGAACGATCGATTCGAAGCCGATTTTGAGTTTCAGAGATTATGCAGAGTTTTGGATTGGGCTTGGGGAGTCAGTGGTCTGTGCATTGTGGCTGTGATCTGGGGTCTGGCACTCTCGAGTGACACTGTCAATGAGGAGGTTGCGTACGCTATCGGTTGGGGTCTACCTTGGATCTGGGGTGGTGTGATGACGATCTTGACGATTCGGATGGCTAAGAAAATGCTACGCAGGCAGAGGGCAAGAGTTGGAGGCATTGATGATTCTGGCGTTTGAAAGTGTGGGATTATAGATCGGTGTTGCAATGTTTGGCAACCGGGTTTGATAGATAGACATGGTAGAAAGCGACCGCTTGAGAATACTGGATGCTCCCATCATGCTCATCTGACTATCTACTCGGGAACCTGTTGCGAGAGAATTGATCCACAGCACCTGTCTCCCTTGAAAACGATTACAGATACGGGAGGACCGTCACCACCCACGACAGCTACTTAGCACAAGCCGCCAAGAGATCCGCGATCCGATTCATCAATTCCCGCACATCCTCCTCCTCCTGCAGTCCCCTATTCCCTTCAAACGCCAACTCCAGCCTCCCATTCTTCGGCGCAGCATAGATCTCAGGTCGAAGCCGTGGCAGATGCGGTCTCTCAAAAGCCGTCATTCCCGCCTTCTCTTGCCCTAAGAACGAGACCTCGGACCCATCTTCTTGCTGGAAAGCCGTGCGCCACCCGAAATCACAACATTCGGTCGGCCATGCGGTGGTAGCGTGGCGAAGGATTTCCAGCATCCCGACCGCCTCGTAGCTGGAGTCTTCGATGAATTGTTGTTGCAGGACTCGAGCTACAGCGAAAACATCATCATCCCCTGATTGTGCTTTGTAGCGAATCGGTTGCTCGACTAAACAAGGGCCTACTACTTCCTGAAGTTCGACGGGAAGCATAGCACGTCCGGTGACCAAGCGACCCAATACCACTTCGTCTCGTCCACAGTGCTTAGCGATGGCGAGAGAGCACGCGGCATGGAAGATTGTTGCGAGTGGGATACCTTTGCAATGCTCTGCTCGGAGCAGCGGGATACTTTGCTGGAAGGACAAGCGGTCTTCGGTGGTGAGAGGACGACCGCTCGTACATTCGGGAGGCGGACAGTCTTGTAGTCTTGCGCTCCAGTGACGGAGGCTGGCTTCTTTCCTTTGCTGATGATATGTGAGCAAGTCTCCGAATCCCATCTGAGGCGAGGGGACGCTTTCGCCGAGGTAGAATGCTGTGAGCGCTGTGAACATGGCGGCAAGACTGTAATCGTCGAATTGCGCGTGAGAAAGGCGGAAAACGAGTTTCCCTTGTCCTTGTCCTTGCTCGGGGGTAATGGCCGTGAATGCCAGTGACGATTCTCCCAATTTTCGACGTCGCTTGAGGTCTTGCTCGCACGCTGCTTTGACAGCATTGTCAACGTCTCCGTCTACGGCTTTGACAACATCGAAGCGAAGCTTCAGGTGGCCGAGCTGGACTTGCCACAATCGATTATCGAGCTCTATGAAGACGGTGCGCAAGATCTCAAAGTGTTCGCCGACTCGTTTACACGCTCTTCTCAGACGTACGACATCCACATCTTTGGGTAAATCGAGGATGAAGTGCGGCAGACGACCAGGTGGATTCTGCAAATTCTCACGAACAGCGAGCTCTTGGAAGTCGGTCGTGGGTAGGACGTCTTGGATGTCATCTGCCTCGGCGCCGTCGCCGAGAAGTGGTTCTACAGTATCGTAGAGGAAGCTCATGTGGTCGGCCGCTGTCTCGGGGAGCAGAGAGAAGGGCTTCCGTGGCTCCAGCTTGGGCACTTCAGCTGGCATTGTGATCTCTTTCGCCACCTCGGCCAACTGTGACAGCCTTGGGTTCCGAAAGATGTCGGCTACGGTAAAGGAGACGCCAGCCTGTCTTGCTGCAGCCACAAGACGCATGGCCGAGATGGAATCGCCTCCAATCCTCAAGAAACTGCTTTGGGACTTGATGCTGGACGGTTCGATGCCAAGGATCTGGGACCAAAGCTGCTGGATTCTCTTTTCCATATCAGTGCTCGGGCCTTTCTGCGCTGCCTTGCTCTGCAATTGCATGCTCGCGAGATCTTCCAGCTTCCTCTGGCCGCCTATGCTGCGAAGGGCGCGTCGGTCGATCTTGTTGGTTGTCGTCATGGGCATCTCGTCGAGAGTGATGTATGCTCCAGGGATCATGTACTGCGGCAGAACTTCTCGAATGTCGTCTTCTACTTCTTCCAACGCTCGCGAGAGGCGGAAGGTTCGATCCAGCCTCTCATGAGAAGCGAGATCGTGCTTCAATGCCAGGAAGGCCGCCAGAATCGGGGCTGGACTATTTGCCGGCGTAATGACTTCCACGGCGACGGAGTCACATAGCGTTGTATGCTTGCGAAGCGCCTTGAGCAAATTATACTCGACTTCGCTCAGTTCGATTCGCTGACCGCGAAGCTTCACCATCTGGTCTTTTCGGCCGAGGAAAGTCAAGGAGCCGTCCTCGTTGTAGCGTAACAGATCGCCGGTCTTGTACACGTAGCCTTCGGGGTCTGAAAATGGGGAAAGCCAGGCTGGGCTTGGGAGGAATGCAGCTTTTGTCATCTCCTGATCGGCCCAATAGCCCGTCGCCACGGCCGGTCCATCGAGCACGAGTTCTCCCGGAGTCCCTATGGGAGCCAGGCGGTCCACTCGACCAGGCTCCACCAGCCAAGTCCTGGCTCCGAAAGATCTTCCGACGTACGCCGGTGGGCTCTCGCTCGTCAACTCTGTTATGGTCAGCGCTTGCGCACATTCAGCCGGTCCGTAGATGCCAATGAAGGTGTTGACTTGTCTCCAGCGGGCCATCTCTGCAGCGGGGATTGGTTCGCCGCCCATGGCGAGCGTTCTGAGCCCAGGCAGCGTGAGAGGGTTGAGTGAGCGAGCAACTGATGGCGTGAAGAATGAATAGTCCGCTCTCATGCGATTGAACGCGCCAGGGATATCGTTCTTGCGCTCGAGCTCGGAAGGAATGCACAAAGTTGCGCCGCAAAGGAGCGTGTTCAACGTATTCGACCAGGACACATCGAAGCTGTAGGAGACAAAGTCGAAGACTCGGGTTCCGTGATAGACCTTCAGGGGGTCCCTCTGATGTGTGAAAGCGGAAGAGAAGTTCTGGTGAGTCGTGGTAACACCCTTTGGTTCGCCCGTTGACCCAGATGTGAACACAACGTACAAGAGGTCCTCTGGGGCAACTTTCGGAAGCTCAACAGTGGTGGTATTCTGATCTACAATGTGGTCTCGATCCACCAAGACTACTTCGGCAGCGTACAGTCGGCTTGCCCAGCCCTTGTTCGCTGAGGATGTGAGAATATACTTTGGTTGAATCTTGCCTAGGATAGTCTTCAGGCGCCCTTCCGGCTGTGTACAGTCAACAGAGACGCACGCTGCACCGGCTCGCATGGCTCCAAGAGCAGCCACTGGCATCCACATGGACTTCTCGAAGCACAGTGGGATGACATCGCCAGGCTTCACACCACGCGCGACGAGCTGCCGAGACAGGCTGTGTGATAGATCGTTGAGCTCCAGGTATGTGAGCTCGCCATCCCAAGCGCACAGCGCCTGAGTGTCCGGATACTGCTTTGCAGTGGCATCGAAGAGCTCGTGGACGCAGGAGCACGTCGGTGCAGGGAGCGTGGCATTCCACTTGCAGAGACATTCGAGGTCCGCATCACTCAGCAGACTGATGTCCTGAACCGTTTCGCCATCTGTACACGCACAAATCTGCCGGAGACCTTGCTCAAAATGAGTGACGAGGAGTTTGGCTTGAGGCGTGCTGATGACATTTGAGTCGTAGCTCATCTCCATTCGCAGCTTTCCGCCGTCCTGGAATTGGAACATGAGCATTACTGCGTGCGGATTGAAGTGATCTAGGCTACCATCATCCAGAGAGTGCGCCAGACGAACGAATGGTCCGCTTCCAAAGGTCGGTGCCGCTGCTTGCCCGGAATGCTGGACAATCAAGAGAGTATTGAACCTGGCTCCAGCGGCAGCGTCTTCGCTCGAGGCCTGTATATCAGTCATGCTGGTCTGCTCGAATGGAATCATCTCGAGGGATAGCTTCTGCATCTCAGCCAACAGTTGATGGACGGGCATATCGGACGCCATCCGCGTGCGTACAGGCACGGCGGCTATCAGAGGCGCAATCATGTCTTCGATACCGTCAACAGGCGCTTGACGGCCCGTACTAAGAACGCCAAAGACTACATCGTTCGAGTCGGTATATCGCGCTGAAAGGATTGCCCAAGCTGCACGAATGACTATCGCAGGAGTGACATCGAGCTCGGGCCAGGATACGGCGGCCATGTCATGAACGATTGTGCTGTCGGCCTGGGGTTGATACTGATCTCTGGGAAGTGCGGGATACGCTGTTGCTGCACATTGTGCAAAGTGGTGTCTCCAGAATGCTTTGGATTTCTCGTGGCTGATAGCAAGAGTGTATTGCATGAAGTTTTGGAAGGGGGACGGTCGAAGCTGTGCGGTGTGGCCTTGGTAGGTGTTGCACACGGCTCTAAGAAGCAGCGAGAGGGACACGGCATCATAGATCGCGTGGTGCTGTGTGAGGACACAGAGTCGTTTGCCAGAAGGATCGGCGTCGACGAGAGCAAGCCTTGTCAATGCTGTGCCGAGTCCCATAGTGTAGCTGGCCTCGGCTTGGTGGAAGGCTTCCAGGTTTGCATACTCACTCCAGTCGAGAGGCGCTCGAAGCTGTGCCTGCACGAATCCTTCCCCGTCGACAGCTAGCACGCGGTTGCACAGGACCGGAGCGAAATCAGCAACCACGTCAAACCAGGCCTCTCGAAGTCGCGCCACGTCAACATCGTGAGCGACCTCGATCGGGATACGAGCAACATAGTCCCCCGGCCTCATCGAGGTCACGGCAAGCAGTGATTTCTGGACCGCTGTGCAGGGGTAACAGTCTTCAACGGCTTCCACGTCCACTCCACACTGTTGAGCAACCTCATTTCGAAGAACATCCGCCCTTCCCGGATGTCTCAGGAGGGAGAAAGGTTGGACTGCTTGCTGATCAGGTGTCACATCATCGCTCGACATGACTTGCGCCATATCCTCCAGGACTGGGTTGGCCAAGATCTCGGACACTGGGAGTGAGATGCCTTGTCGACGGGCTCGTGCCATGAGCTGCATGGCCATGATCGAATCGCCACTGACTCGGAAGAAGTTGCTATTGCGGCCGATAAGATCGCCGGAAATGTGAAGAGTCTGAGCCCACATTTGCTGGAGCCTACGCTCACCATCCGTTGCTGGAGGCTCGATCAATGACCGAGAGGCTGGCAACACCAGCTCGTTCACACCAAGTCCTTTGCCGATTTCCCGCAGCTTCGTCCGATTGATCTTGCCAGCGGCACTCAATGGCATATTTGGCAGAGGTACGAAGGTGCCGGGCAACATGTGAGCCGGGAGCTGATCTGCCAGTTCTTGGACGAGTCCGCCCAGATGATCACGCAAACTTTCCCAAGCAGATCCGTCCATCTGCAGGAAGACCACAACAATCGGCCTCCGCGTTACGTCTGGAACTACGAGCTCAGCGGCGAGGAGGCACGATACATTTCTTGTCGCCAAACACTTCAACACCTGATGCTCAACCTCGCCAAGCTCGAGCCGCTTACCGTGATGCTTGACCTGAAAATCTTTTCTTCCGACGAAAATGATGTTGCCGCTCCCGATATCATATTTGACCAGGTCTCCTGTCCGATAGACAACTCCACGTCTTCCCGAGCTGCTCCTGCTCCCTTCTGACAGCCACTTGGGAGAATCGATAAATGCTGCTCGTGTGGCTTCTTCGTTCTGGAGGTATCCTGGTCCAACCAGTGGGCCTTCGAGGAAGAGCTCCCCCACGGTTCCAATCGGACAAAGCTGGTCGTAATTGGCCGGGTCCACAATCCACGTGACCTGCCCTGCGCCCTTGCCGATTGAAACTTGCATGTTCTCGGGCATGGGATACGGGACTTCCCAGCTCATGGCCGCAGCCGAGCATTCCGAAGGTCCGTAGCCATGCCAGACTTTGACTTGCGCAGCCCACGAAGTCAGCTCTTCTTTGCTGACCTTATCTCCCATGATAATGGCATGTTTCACGGTTGGCATGGTGGCGGGGTCGAGCATGCTTGCTGTTATGGGCGTGATCAGGAGGTCGGTGGCCTGATACTGTCGAATGCTCTCCGGTAATTGATCTCTTCTCTGCTTCTCCGAAGGAACACAGAGCGTGCCGCCAGCGCAGAGCGTATGGAAGAGGCCCACGTGATGGGCATCAAATGAGTACGAGCAAAAGTCATACAGTCGTGATCGGTTGTTGATCCCATACGAGCCTTTCTGCCGAACGGCCGCCGTGCTCCAGTTCTCGTGCGTGGCCAGGCATCCTTTCGGGATGCCAGTACTGCCCGATGTGAAGGTGACATAGAGAAGGTCGTCGGGCTGCACGGGCGGAAGCTCGGATTGAAAAGCTGGTGCTTCGTCGTAATTCTGCCTTGCGTTGGCGTCAATGACAAGCACATGTTTGCAGAGCCTTTGCGACAGGTCAGCATTCTCAGGAGAGGAGAGAATCAGGTCCGCCTCCGTTTGTCGGACCATCTCTCTCAGGCGAGCCTCGGGGAGAGAAGGATCGAGCATCACAACGGCACAGCCAGCCTTCACAGTCCCCAAGAATGCAGCTGTGGTCCACACGGACTTTTCGAAACAAATTGGCACGAATCGATTGCCCGTGACTCCCGTTCCAAGTATTGCATGCGCGATGGAGGTTGCCCGGTGGGCCAGTTGACGGTACGTAAGCTCGCCATCCCACGCACAAACAGCAACCTTGTCGGGCTGCTGTTGAGCAATGCGGTCGATCATTTGATGCACGAATGTGTCTGTGTATGGTTTGACCTCTTGGTTCCACTGCCAGATCTGATCCACTTCATGATCGGTGATCATTCTCATTTCAGACAATCTTGCTGTTGACTCGGCTCGGCACAGTTCCTGGACAGCTTGCGCGAAGTGGTCCGCAAAGGCCGAAGTCGCCTGGTCATCAAGAATCAGGGGATCGACAATGAATTGAACCTCAAGACGGTCGTCCTGGAGGAGGCACACGGCCGTCAACGCATGGCTGCTGAATCTAGCATAGGAGCGCAGTTGCTGTTGGCCTGAGTCGGGAGGGTCGAAAAGGCTGGTGTCCGACAAATTCATCGTCTGTGGAGGCTGGATGACCAGCATGGACTGGAACTTGCATGCTTCGCGAGCCTCGTCGCTACAGCTTGCTATGCGTGGAATCCCACTCTGCTCGAAAGGGATCATCTCGATGGCTTGTGTTTGCACCTTGGCCAGGAATTCTTCGACGGTCAGATCCGGATCTGCTCGTATCCTGACCGGCACAGCTGCGATCGTGGGTCCACCAATGCGGTCCACGTTGTCTATCGCTGCCTGTCGACCCGAGACGATGGCTCCAAAGACCACGTCACAGCTTGCGTAGCGACGACACACGAGTGCCCACGCCGAACGCACAATCGTGGAAGACAGAATGCCGTCTGTACGCCAGGAAAGCTTGTCGATCGATTTGGCCACTAGTGTATTTGGCTGCGGTTGATAAGAAGCCGAAGGGAGACTTGGGAAATGTTGAGTGTCGAGATCCTGAAATTGAGACTTCCAAAAGACTTGCTCTGACTCTGCGTGGGAAGCTCTGATGACATTCTCCACAAAGTGTCGAAATGGCAGGGTAGGCTTTGGCGTCCGCTGGTGATAATAGGCATCCAACGTCTCGCGAATGAGAACATTCGTCATGCCATCGTAGACCGCGTGATGGGTAGTCAACAAGAACCGGTGCTTGCCTCCATCCCTGACAATGCCATACCTTGCGAGTGGCTGTCCAAGAGACATCACCTGCTCGTTCTGCTCGAGTTCAAATTCGACCTGTGTCGTAGAACTAGACCATGGCGTAGGCGTTCGCATGACGATCTGTGTCAGGCCGACTCCAGGAATATCAAGGATGCGAGTCCGGAGGATCGGCATTGCAAGAAGCACTTTCTCCCAAGCTGCACGAAAACGGTCGACATCCACGGATGCCGCCAAGGGGAGACTATCATGACCCACGTAGTCTCCAGTTCGACGCTCAGACAAAGCCATGAGACTTCCCTGCAAGGGTGTGCAAGGATACATATCTTCAATATCATTCATTGAAACACGGCATGCTGAAGATGCTTGTTCCAGCATTCGATGATCTAGTCCGTCATTTGGTGCAGCGACGCGGTTGGTATGCGAACATGTGCTCGCCGCCAGACCTATGGCCGAGTCCTGTCGGGCTGGCAGTGTCTGGATGTTGCTCGTTCCATCGCTTTGGGGGAAGCGATCGAAATGGATTCCACTCCGGTCGCTGGCGAGTCGAGGACCTGGTCGCTGACTCCAGAAGCTGTGAAGATCTTCCAGACTCACCTCCGACGCAGATCCAGTGCTCATCGCACTCGAGCTGACAAGCTGTCGCAGCACGCGTTCGAAGTGCTGTGCAAGTAAATTCACCTGTGCAATCGTCAAGACGCTCTCATCAAAGCTCACAGCCAAAACCAGCCCGTCTGGGGCAAGCCAGCATGAGACCAGCAGGGCGTGGGCGTTGAAGGGATCTGCACCGATGGTGTCCAACGTGGACCCAAATGTTCGAGCTTTGAAGATGGAATTGTCTGATTGCAAAGTCTTGCCTTCCGAGACCGCGTGCACCACAAGAAGGGTCTGGAAGAGATGGCCCTGAGTGGACTTTCCAGCTGCACGGGTAATGTTGTGTACTCCATAGTGCTGATGCGGCGCCGCGTTGAGATCTTGTTGCCTCAGCCGCGACTGAAATGTGTTGATGTCCTCGTCCCAATCGACGCAGACAGGAAGTGGAATGGTACACACCGTGGGACCAGCGCAGTGCTCGATCCCTGGCAGATCTATCGTTCTTCCGCTCAGAACATTTCCAAAGATGACATTCGTGCTCATCGAGAATCGAGCGACAACAAGAGCCCAGGCAGACCGGACGATGATGGTCGGAGTGTTCACATCGCGAGGCCACTGTAAGGTAATAGGTCGCTTCAGCTCACGGGTGGCCTGTGGGACATATGAGGCCGTCGGTAGGTGAGGAAACAAATGAAACTCCGCTTTGCCAAGCTCACGTGTCCAGAATTCTCTGGACTTGTCGACTGGCAATTGCGAAATGTGCTTGACAAAGGCCTGGTATGGCGTTGTGACGATGTCAGCGCTCGAGATGTACCTGGCCTCCACTTCGCTGAGGAGCATAGACAGGAAGGCCCCGTCATATATGCTGTGATGGATCGTGAGGACGAAAGAATCTTGGACCAGAGCGGCACGACAAAGTGCATCGCCGAGAAACATCGGCTTCTGCTCATCCTGTCGAACATACTCTTCGATGTCGTCTCCACGTTGAAGAAGAAGGTCTTTGGTAATAACTTGCACAAGGTTGAGTCCAGGAAGGTCAACAAAACGGGTCCTCAGAACCGGTAAATGAGCCACTGTCGCAAGCCAAGCATCTTTCAATCGTGAGCGTTCAATACCCAACTGAAGACTCAGCACACTCCGTGAAATATATTGACCGGGATTTCGTGCAGTCAGTGCGAGTAGGCCTTGCTGCAAAGGTGTGCACGGATACATGTCGACTATATCTGCTGCCGGGATACTGCAAAGCCGAGCCGCTGCTGAAGTCACTTCTTCGACGTTCACTTCTGAACTTAGGAGCGAGAATGGTTTGATCTGCTCAGCACTATCGTTGACGCCGGCCGTCATTGTTGAAGCCATCTCGACAAGAAGAGGACTTTGGAAAACGGACGCGGTGTTGATATGTAGACCCCGCCCACGAGCCAGTGAAACCAGACGCATAGCAGCAATCGAGTCGCCTCCTAAGCGGAAGAAGTGACTGTCGAGGCTGATCTGGTCCAAAGTGATGCCGAGCACAGCCGCCCAGAGGTGTCGTAGGGCGTCTTCCTTTTGGGTGAAAGCTTGCTCTTTGGTCTCATGAGACTGGACAAGTGCCACAAGTTCAGTGCGCGAGAGATGGCTACCGAACTGACAAAGGGCCCGTCTGTCAACCTTGCCAGTCTTTCCCAGTGGTAGCTCGTTCACGGGTATGAGATATGTGGGAACCATGTAAGCTGGTAGTTGCTGCGCCAGATGACGTCTCAGTCGGGACAGCTGTTCGTGATCGTAGTCACGATCAAGAGCCAGGGTGCATTTGCTTGATATATCAGCAGAGCGGCAAAGGAAGAGAACCAAACACTCCTTCTCCACATCTGCCAGCTTGATCACGTCCGTTACGATTGTGATGAAACGCCCGGCGAAGAAGGCCTGCGCGGCTTCATCGATCTCATGAAGCTGGACCCGTCTACCATGGACTTTGGTCCAGCTGTCTTTGCCTCGCCCGATGAATACAAGGTTGCCTGTTGCATCATATTTGACGTGATCGCCAGTCCGGAATGTCGTGCAACGCTGAGTGAGAGTGGGTATAGCCACATGCTCGACCGCTGGTGGTGGCGTGAAGGCGATATGTTGTGTCGCCTCGGTCTCGCTACTAACGTAACCGTCTGCTACGATGTCGCCATCAATGCAAAGCTCGCCAACAGTGCCGATGGGCGCAAGTTTGGTAGGATCACGAATATCAAGAATCCAGGTTCGTGCATACTTGCTCCTACCAATGAGTCCTGCCGGCCACTCCGAGTCTTTCAAAGAGCAGGACGTCGCAACTGAAGCTTCGGCAGGACCATACCAGTTCAGCACAGCGGTGCCATTCTCGATCCAGGGTTGAGTGTCGACATGCTTCAACTTCTCACCAGCGAACACGAAGGTCTGCAGACATGGTATTTGCTTCGGGTCGAGAGTATCTGCTACGGAAGGAGTAAGACAGATCCAGTTTGCTTTCGCTTCAGCTATTGCAACGGAGAGTCGATCCCAGATATCGCGTTGCTCGGGCACGAAAAGGCAACCTCCGGCGGACAACACTGCCAGGCTCTCGACCGTGCTGACGTCGAAGTCGTAGGCCGCAAATTGGAAGACACGACTACTCTTACTGAGTCCAAAACATCCCATGGCTGCACGAATGTTGTTGCTCAGCGCACGATGGCTCCACAATGTTCCCTTCGAGATGCTGGTTGTGCCCGAGGTGAAAATGATCACAGCACCATTGGCCAACGCCGGGCTCTCGTGCTGCACTGTAAGATCGGAATCGTCTTTTGCCTCTACAAGGTTCTCGATGACCAATAGTGTGCACATATCCGAGAAGGGACAACAATCAACAAGATGCCGTGATGTGATCGCCAATGCTGACTCGCAAGTCTTCACAACATGGACGGCCTGCTCTGTCGAAGTTGGAGATGCGAGTGGTACTGCAATGCCACCAGCACGCAGAACCGCAAGCATGGCAATGACCATCCAAGGCGACTTCTCGAAGCTCAAAGGTATCCTACGGCCTTGGATACTATACTCTAGCAGCGATTTCGTAGCCTTCGAGGATAATCGCCAGAGATCCGCGTAGGTGAGCCTCAGGTGGGGAGATTCCACAGCAGGTGCATCTGGATTCGATGAAACCTGAGCTTGAACGATTCCAACCACTGACTCATGCACAGAGGGCAAAGTCGTCTCGTTCCACAGGAGTATCTGCTGTACATCGCTTTGACTTGCCAAGACCAAGTCGTTGAGCTTCAATCTCTGCGGTGCAGGAGAGCAGACAAGGCGAATCAAGTGTTCGAGCTGCTTCGCAAATCTTTCACATTCTGGGAACCCGATGGATTCGGTATCGAAGCTGATTTCCAGAGTGACACCAGAGTTTGAAGGTGTGCAGACTATCATCATGCCGTGGGCGTTGAAAGGATTGAGATTGTCAGCCGACCAACTAGTAGAAGATTCAGCCCTTTCGGAGAAAAGACCTGGACTGCTAGCTTCGAAAGAAAGGTCAGCTTCGTGCTGGACCACTAGCAGCAGCTGGAAAAGACTTGAGTCGCCCACGTCGGAAAGACCAGCTGCCTGGTAGATGTTGCGCAGCCCAAATTGTTCGTAATTGTGCATCGAAATCATCTGATCCTGAATTTGTCGCTGAAGTTCTTGCAAGTTCTCCTCCCAGCTGACCGTCACTCTCACTGGGACGGTTGCGATAGTTGGTCCGGCAATGCAATCAATGTCTGGGACTGCTGCTTGCCGGCCACTGACGGTGGCTCCGAAGACCACGTCATCAGAGTTGGTATACTTAGACAACAGGAGAGCCAGGGCAGTGCGTATCACAGTCGACGCCGTGATTCCTGCTCGAGGCCAGCTTATGTCCGTGAACTCAAGACGTAACCCTTCTTTGTGACCTCCAGTCTTGGACAAGGGCGGGAACGGCGCGACATCGAGATTCTTCAGCTGCTCTGTCCAAAAAGTAGCCGTCTCCGGCCGGTCAATCTGTCGAAGCACATGATCCACAAATGGCGGAAAAGGCGCAAGTCGTGGAGGTTCTTGGGAACGATTGTATGCCTTCTCCACGGCCTGAAATATCAAAGAACGGCTCCACCCATCGAATATGGCGTGATGCATTTGCAGATCGAGACTGTGGTGATCGTCACGATCATGCGATATTGCAACGCGGAAAAGAGGCGTACCAGGCTTCCACGATGAAGTCAGTTGGTCCCGTGGCGGTGTTTTGAAAGAAGATTCGAAGCAGTGTTTGGCGCAAAGCACGACCTGCATGAGCTCTCCTCCGTCGTGGAGCGCCATTATGCGTGTACGCAGCAATGATGCTGACTCAAGTACATCGAACCAGGCAGTTTCAAGTGCATCCAGATCCGTATTTGGCGGCAGGCGATATGATTCTGTCAGGACATAGTCGCCGGCGTGAATGGATGTCATTGCCATCATACCTGCTTGCATAGGCGTACATGGTAGGATATCCTCGACACCTTCTGCATCAATACAAAGCAACGTCGCCACAGATTGACGAACAATGGTCTGATCGATTTGCGGATCTAGCAAGGAGAACGGCTGATATAGCGACGGGTCGATAGTGGTAGTCGTCGGCTGCGTCCTTCTTGCGAGATCTCGCAAGGTTGCCGCGCCAAAGATGTCGGAAATAGAGATTTCCAGGTGCTGTCTCCGGGCTAGAGAAATCATGCGGATGGCTTTGACAGAGTCACCTCCTAAACGCAAGAAGTTGTCGCTTGTACTAATAGATGGTGGCGGAAGTGCGAGTAGACTTGCCCAAATTTCGCGCAATTTGATTTCAATGTCATTTTTCGGTTCAGTATGAACGGCAGGTGTCAAGATCTTTGCTTGTGCTTCTAGCAGCTGAGAAAACGTCAAAGAGCAAGCTAGCTCACGGAGCGAACGCCGATCTGCTTTTCCAGTCGGACCCAGCGGGATCTGGTGGATTGGGTAGTAGATTGTCGGAAGCATGAAGTCAGGAAGGACATCAATCAGCCTGCGACTCACGTCGACAAGCTTGGCCTCGAGGACATTCTTTTCGTGGCCAAGGGTCTCAATGAAGACTGTCAGGAAAGGAGAGTCATTTTCCTTCGGGTAGACAGCATCGACAAGACTCGCAACATCAGGAGTAAGAAGCTTCCGCACATTGTGCTCGACATCGCACAAAACTTCCACTCGCTGACCTCTGATCTTGATTTGAGCTGTGTCCTTACGGCCGACAAAGACCAGCTGACCATCCGACCGGTACTTGAAAAGATCACCAGTCTTGTAAACTTTGCCCGTTCTTCCTCTATGAGCTCCGTGTCCTCTGATCAGCCAAGGTGGATTTTCGATGAAGGCAGCAGCGGTGGCCTCTGGATTGGCGAGGTAGCCCTGGCCCACAAGCGGGCCTTCGATCATCAACTCACCTGTAGCGTTTAGAGAAACGAGTTGAGAGTGATCGCTAGGGTCTACAAGCCAGGTACATGTCCCCAGTCCTGTACCGACGGTAGGCCGTTCGACGTTCGGGTGCAGTACAGAAAACGCAGTCTTGAAAGTACATTCTGTCGGTCCATATGTGTTCAGAAGTCTTACGCGACTCGCCCATTGCAGAATGTTCTCCTGGTAGGGCGGCTCGCCGCTGAGCAAGATTGTCTGCAAAGTCGAGGGACCAGGATCCAGGGTGCGCAGGACAGTTGGCGTAATATTGATTAATGAGCAGCGGTAGGAAGCAATGACGGAGGCCAGATCTTGAAGCATTTCCCCTTCTGTCGCTATGCAGAGGCACCCTCCTGAGCATATTGTGTGCAGAAAATTGCTCCATGCCACGTCGAACGAGTATGGCACAAAGTCCAGCACGCGCGAGTCTTCGTTGAAGCCAAGGCTCGAGCCTTGATGAAGGACTGCGCTTCTGACATTGGCATGGCTCATGCAGGCACCTTTCGGCGACCCTGTTGATCCAGACGTAAAGCTGATGTATACTATCTGTGAGGAAGGTACTGCTCGGTGCAGTTGTTCGGAAGTTGCAGAGCTCAAGAGAGCATCGTTGAGCTCTATGCTTCGGTAACGGCCAGATCCTGGCACGTCATATTTCGGAGCCGGTAACGTCAGAATGAGTGACGGGTCGGTCTGTTCAAGGATACTATCAAGCCGCGCCAAGGGTTGATTTGCGTCTAGTACTACTGCTGCCGCTCCAGCTTTGATAACACCGAGCATGGCAACAGGGGTCCACCGACTCTTCTTCAGGTAGATCGCCACAGTAGAGCCCTCAACCACGCCGTGTAAAGATAGAACATACGCCAGTCTGCCAGTAAGCGCATCAAGCTGCGAATAGGTGAGTCGGCCGTCCCAAGCGTCGATCGCTAGTGCATCGGGACGCTCCTGAGCTAACGCCGCAACCAGATCGTGAACACAGCCGTCGGCCGACCTTGGCCTTGAAGCATTCCATTCCCAGATTTTATCGAGGTCCTCATTGGTGGCGAGCATTGAGTCAGGCTGGCTCATTGCCATGCTCTCCTTGGCAGCTCCATGCACAGCCGAATTGTCTTGACTCTCCATTTGTCGCATCGCCTTGCACGAGGAAGACCTCTTTATCGTGAGCTGAATATGATCCGTGTCTGCGAGTCAACGAATAAAGTGTCAAAGTCGGCGTGCAGTCTACCAGGTGTTAGCGAGAGCTTCGCACTGCACCCAGGCGAACAACAATAATGCGAGTGCCGAGATTGCAGCAAGCCTTCTGTTGGTGAAATGCCGTCATGAGGATGTTCGCTTGTCAGCTCAAGCGTCCAACTAGTGGTCTGCAGGGTCGCAGACAGCACGTGCAATGGCGTGACGTTGTGCAGCCATGAGCCCGGTAGGTGGTCTGCATGGCGGGCCAAGGACGTTCTTAGCGTGGAGGCGACCACTCTTACCTAGTAGTGACTTGCTTCTTTCGTGTTAGCTTTTCTATTACTTATTCGCCGGTGGCACTGCTGAGTCCTTAAGCGAGCCGGGGTGTGGCATGGACTTCATAGCAGCACAGAGCCACGCGAATTCAACCGATCCTAGCCGGGGGACGCAGGCTGAAAAAGGGAAGGCGTTGGCAGAGCTGCGCTTGGGTACCAGCAGCACTTCACACGGACCTCTTAAGATCTCCAGTAAACAAAAATTCTGCATCTTGACTGCTCAGCGAGACCAGACTCGAGATGGTTATAATGGAGCCCACAGGGCCGCCACAACTCGACTTCTCAAAGTATACTTCTGGCAACATCAAGGAACGGGAGCTCTTTTGTAGAAAGCTTCGGATAGCGTTACAGCGATGGGGCTTCGTCAGCCTGATCAACTACGGAATTCCAGACGCAGATATCGAGGAGCTGTTCCAGTACAGTCGACGCTTTTTCGCCTTGACAGACGCCCAGAAGATGTCTGTCCCGCATCCGCCTGTGCCAAATCCACATCGAGGATACAGCTTCGTTGGCCAGGAATTCACTTCGAGTCTCAGTCGGCCACGAGAAAAAGAAGCACGAAATGGACGACGACTGCGGGACCTGAAAGAGACCTTTGATTGGGGCGCGATTGACGATCGGCTCTACCCGAGCATTTGGCCGGAAGATGAGATATTGCCCGGCTTCCGCGGTGTGCTGGAGTCACATTTTGCTAGAGCACACAAGCTTCACCTGACCATTCTGCGAGCTCTCGCGGAGTGCACCGGTGCCCACCCGGATACATTCCTGCAAGCGCATAGGGGGAACGATAGCGAAGCACGTCTAGCGCACTACCCATCAGTCAAGTCTGGTAGTCTTGGTGCTGAACGAGGCACCTCAAGGATATGCGAGCACACCGATTCGGGCTCTGTGACACTGCTGTGGCAAGACTCTGTGGGTGGGCTCGAAATCGAAGATCCGCTGTCACGACACTTCATCGAAGTACGCAACCCTGCACCGGCAGTCCTGGTCAACCTTGGAGACGCGATGGAGCGGTGGAGCAATGGCGTTCTTTCCGCAGCCTATCACCGCGTAGGAAAGCCATCCTGCCATGATGCCCAGGGCGAAGTTCCAGAGCGATATTCCATCATGTACTTTGGTAAGCCGGATCGCGCCGCCAGCCTGGGACCGCTTGCACAATACGTGACCGCCAGTAGGCCAGCGAAATATGCCGAGGTTACCGGCGACGCGTTGAATCAGGGGACGCTGCAGCGCACCTATGAGCCTGAAGAGGCGGAGCTGACCAGGTTTGGGCAGTCGAACAGGCAGTAGATGCAGAAGAGGTGGGAAGCTGAAGATACAACAAGGAGTGGTGGTGGTGCGGGAGCTGACATTGGTGTGAAATCCATGCCATGACAGTCGGACGTTGGCACAAGCTTTCTGCTAGGCCGAAGGGGTGTTAGCGCAGAATAGACTAAGTGCTCAGCCGCGGTCCTCCCGTCGGGCCCGTCCTCTGCCAAGACTCACAAGGCTCGAGCTCGAGCTACCTTACCGCAGAGAAATCTGCGGTTGACCACGCTAAAAGCGGAGTTAACCAACGTCCGTATAGCCGAGCCTGTGCGTAACCGTGTATATAGTCAACCGCAAATTAGCGCCTACGCATCTACTTTCCTACTAATCGACTAATTCTTTCCCTTCCCTTTTCTTCTACTATACGAATATCCGCTTCTTAGACTATATAGATTACGAGTACTAAACAAAACTACTATCTAAAGCACCGACTAAAGCTATAGAGACTCTATTAACCTTTCTTCCCTATATATAGGAAGATTATAAACATAAATATTCTAATAAGCTTATCTTATATACCGAGTCTATTAACGAGCGCGTATATATAAGTATATAGATATATATACCCTTTAGCTTACCGAGATATAGGCCTCTAATGTCTTTACGTTACGAATGCTTGCAGAAGAAGATCGTATCGCTTTAGAGGCTATAGAAGACAAGCAGCTAGAAAGCAATATTATAGGCTTAGCTATAGCTAATTATATACCTATACTTTCTAATAAGACTTAGCTACTTCCTCGACCCGGGCCTACCCTTATTATAAATGCTATATATGCCCCGCTTTCTATTAAGTATATCGAATATATTACTACGATACTAGAATACCTAAGTAGTTATAACTATAGCTATATATATATCGTTCTACTTACGGATTACTATAACTATACCGATCTTATCCTAGAGAACGTTATAAAGATTCCGGCTGTTCTTAAATATAGAGTATATATAGGCGTGTATATTGTTATATATATGCTAATATATATTAGATATAATATAGGGCAAGGTAGCCCTATTCCCTAAAGGAAACTAAAGCGTCGTACTTTAATAGTATATCCTATATTCGGGTACGGAAGAATTATAGCGGTGTTAAGATATATTAATATACTTACTTATATCTCCGGGAGGGCGCTACGCACTATCGCCTTACGGACGAGTACCTAAACTAGAGGGTTAATTCTATACCTCCGCTCGTAAGGATATTCGTACTAAGAGGAGAAGAGACGCAATACTAGGTAGAGAACTTACATACGTATATATATCCGTAGTTAGATAGTTTACCGAGTACTAACCTACGGGCATAGGCTTTAGTATATAGTATAAGCAAGATTCTAGTCGAGAAAAGCCTACGACGATTAACGCGAAGATTGTAGTTTAACGTATAAGGAGGCAGAGACGCCTATAAGTAATTAGTTATATATATAGGCATATCTATAGCTAACTATATAGACGCTAGCTAGTTATTACTAGTACTTACTCGTATATACTAACTACTATATATACCTACGACTATTATACTTCCGCTAAGTTATTCTAAAAGAAGGGAAATAGTTAATCGATATACTTAAGGACTTCTTCTAAAATCTACTAGCAGGTCCGACTAACGTTTATACGGTTGTTAAGCCGACAAAGGTAGTTTATACGATATGCCGTAGGTACGTCTAGACCTATAGGCATAGATTAGCTAATATCGCGTAGAAGTCGATTACCTATAAGGGTAGGGCAAGCTCGTTACATAAGAGTATAAGGTTAAGTTCGATTTTATCGTCCCGCGCGATCCTATAAGGACGCCCTATATAATAATCGTATCTCGGGGCAAACATACGTATATACTACCCCCTCCGACGAAAGTCCCTACTCTTATCGAGGAAGAGCTAAAGGAATTAATTAAGAAGTGCATTTCGCCGGACCTAATAACGGGTATATATATAGCTATACCTATAGACTTCCGCTTACGTAGTCCTTAGCCCGATTCTAGGTCTATCCGATATTATAGCAGTTCCTTAATAAAAAAGAGGTACTATTACTTGCTAAGCTCTATATTACTTTAAACAATACTTCGCGCTTAACCGCGATAATAGTAAAGCTTAAGCATACGGAGTATAGTTACCTTCGCGATATTAACGTAGTAGAATAGGTATACAAATAGCAGAAACTTAACCCGAAGACTATACGTCCTTATCTATAGCTATAGATACTAATATACGCTAATTTAGTAGCAATATATCTAAGACGTATTTATCTCCCTTATAGGTATATAGATAGTAGTATGCTTTTATAGGGAACAAGCAGAGATCTTTACGTCTCTCTAGTTATTCGACGTCGATATGTCCTATAAACGTATCGTAGGATCTAATATAAACGAGGTTATCTTTGCGGTTAAGTTAGGTTAGAATAGAAAGCGTATATATAGGCTAACCTATAGCTATATACCTGCTAACAAGATAGTCTTTACCTTAGCTCGGGTTATCTATAACGAGAAGAATACTAATCGGATATATTATCTCGTATAGAAGCGCCTATTTACGACCTTAGCGGCTGTCGTAGGTATAGGCAGATATAGGTAGGCATATATCTACGGGGATACGGACGGGTAGTACTATATCGCAGTCGATTAGCTCGGGTACTAATATACTAGTATCTATGCCCTAGCCTATACCCGTACCTATACTAACCTATAGGCCTTAGTCTCTACCTATACGAAATCGACCCCCTCTATATAGCGGAGTATACGTATAGTAAGGAAGGCTATATAGTATTGGCGATAGCTATATACTATTACCGATCTTAACTAGAGTAAAATGGCAGCGAACAACTAGAGACGAAGGGAAGATAGTTAAGAAGGAAGGGAGGACGAATAGAAAGCACTATATACTAGAGTAGAGGAGGTACTAAAGGCGGAAGATAGAAGAACCCCTAAGAGGGTATATAGGATAATAATCTTAGAACTCCTTAGAGGACTAAAAGCAATCTATAACTAGGCAAGCTACGTAATTACAAAGGTAGCTAATACAGTCGTAGTAAAGATTACGAAGAAACAATAGGAGATAAGCCTAAACTACCGTACCTAGGCAGCAGTAGCTAGTTAGGAGGCGCTAAAACCCCCGAGGACAGTAGTTAGAGTCTATATTACGGACCTATAGGAGCAAAAGGAAATCTAAGGACTTATAGGGAAAGAGATTGTAGAAAGAATTATAGTTAAAGAGGTAATTAGGGCTAGGAACGAAGGTAAAGGGGTAATCAAGCTATTTATAGTACAAGAGTAGGACAAAAGAAGCTAGAAACACAAAAAGAATAGACAACTAAGATAGGGAAAACAGCAAAGGTCTCCTAACAGCAATTTATAATTATAGCCTATAGTATAACAAGAAGCTTTAAGGAAGAACGGGATATTAAGAGCCTATAGAGACAAAACCAAGCTATATGCCTAAGCCTAAAGATCACAAAAGTAGTATAGATTAAAAGGAAAATCGAAGAGACTAAGAAGCAGTCTTCCCTAATTATCTAGGTAGGGAGTACAAAGCAAGCTAATATAGTACTAGACTAGGGGTTGTTCTAGGACTTTGAAAGATTAGAAACAGAGATATATAGGAGCAACTATAGGATAATGCAGTGCTTCAAATGTCAATACTATAGATACTTAGCAGCTAAGTATACAAAAACAACTAATACCTACTCCTATTATATAGGGGATTACTAGGTTAAAGAATATAAAGCATATAAGGGAGAAGCAAGATATACATACTGCACTAAAAGACACCCCTCTTAGGCGAAGGAATGCCTAGTAAGAATATAGGCAGCTAGGAAGGCGAAGGAAGCTAGAATTAACATACTAAAAAGATATACAATAAGCTAGAGTAGCTAGGTGTAGAAGCAACCTAGCTAAGTACTATAAAAGAGGTCTAGATAAGATAATAGGTTCACATTTAGGGCCTTACTAGCATAAGAGAGTTACTAGTAACTAGGGAGACTAAGATACCTTAACATTATAGGAAAGGAAGCAGGGCAGATAAAGCTTAGTTAAATATTAGTCTAAAGTAAGGGAAGACTAAAGGAAAACTTATAGGGAAATGATATAGATGAAACCTAATAAACATTGCAACATTACTAAACATTATATAGTACAATGTCAACAAGAGCAAAGATAAGGTATAGAGGAGCTTCCTTTAAGCACTAAACCTAAAAGAATATTACATTATTGCAATCTAAGAGCCCTAGCTTAACCTATATACAAAGAGACTAGTAACAGTCAAAGACCTAAGATACTACCTAATTATCTATAACTAGGGAGCCCTAAGGATATATATCTACATTAGTAAGGAGATAGATATAGAAACCTAGTAGGCTATACTATAGGAGGATGGGGACCTGATATTAGTTCAAGTAGAGACATCCTAAGGTATACTCTAAGTCTACTATATATACAACCTACTACTAGACTTAAGAAGTAGTACCTAACTGAAAACCCTAGAAAGACTACCTAGAGTTATCTAGGGGAACACCTACTAAATCCTACTTAGGGATTTCAACCTCTACTACCCCCTTTAGGGCTTAGACTTTACCCTAGCTTACTACTTCCTAGTAGGAAGACTGATTGATATATTAGAGAGGGAAGGAATAGAAATTGTTACCCTAAAGGGACTAATTACTTAGGAGGCAAGAGGAAGCAGTAGTACACTAGACCTATACTTTATATTACATTAGATTAGGAATAGGATTACAAGATGCAGGGTTAACTAGGAACTAGAAGAATTATTAGACTACTTCCCGGTATAGATTAAGCTAAATGTTTAAGCTAATTAGGAAAGGGAACTAGAGGAGAAGCTTAACTAGAAAGGTGCCTAATAGGGCAGGATTAGGGAGGAACTAGAAAGGGACCTAAAACTAGAGGAACTCTTAACAAAGCACCTACTAAGGCTAGAGGACATTAATAAGGCAGTAGAAGAACTAATAGGAATCCTAAAACAGGTAGCTAGAAAGCATACCCTAGTAAAGAAACATTCACTATACTAGCAACTATACTAGACTAGTAAGTATATAAGGAAGGTTAAAGTAGTAAGGAAGGCTAGGAGGCAGTAGATACAAACCTATACCTAGGAAGTATAGGACAACTACAATAAAGCCTGCTAGGAAAAGAAGATCTAGATTAAGAAAGATAAGATGCAAGAATAGAGATCTATAATAGGAATAATTACAAAGAAACTAGAGGAGATATAGAGGATAGCTAAATAGGCAAAGAGACCTAAGTAGGATAAGGATATGCTACTACAATTCCCGGATATTATAGACCAATAAGGACAAACGTAGACT